ATGAATCTCCAGCAATGGCATCAACATGCACAAGACCCATGCAAACTGAAGCAGACAAAAACTCAGCACAGAACTGGGAAATGGGCAGCAGGCCCCAACCTTAGCCAAAGAACTATTGGCAGCTGATTACTGCTGAGTGAGGAACAGCTAGTCTTCTTAAAGGGAGGGACTCTAGACCCCAGTGGATGAACCTGCACTGAGGGACATTTGGGGACACTAACTTGACTTCATAGGCCTTAACATCAATGACAGAATGCATGAAATCCAGTGGAGGGGGCCTATGGGAGGGTGCCAATGGGGAAGGGGTATGAAGATGATTAAGATGTTCTACATGAAATACATACATATTCATTAAAATATTATTAATAATATAGACTCATTTCTCAAAAATAAATTAATTAATTAAAATAAAATGGATCTCCCCTGCCACTGAGTAGGATTTAAGAAGTAAGCCTTGGGGGAACTATTTTCGACATGTTTCTGTAATGGTTAGCCAAGTGACACTGAGGGCATTTTTCAAACGTAACTGTAAAGCACCAGTGTCTGCTTAGGGCTACCTTGGGTGTCTGAGGACATTTCTCTTACTATCTCTCCAGTGTCCATGTATATAAGATCATGTGGGGAGGTTGGACAAAATGCAGATCTCAGGTTTCAGACTGACATCCTGGTTTACAGGATCTGTGGTAAAGCTCTAATTCCCCGTTTTATACGGTCTGGCAGGGTGCTCCACTCTCCCTTCCGCACTGAACTTGCTATCCAAATTGCCTTGCCAATTTTTGAAACTTCTATTACTGCAGACCAGACTGTTTCCAGACTACCGTTCTCATTTTACTTTGCCTGATTGTTTTTAAAAAAAACTTTGATTTATTTTTATTTTTTGTGTATGGATATTTTTGCCTGCATGTATGTAAATGTACCGTGTGTGTACAATGCACAGAGGAGCCAGAAGAGGGCACTGCATCCCATGGAACTGAAGTTACTGATGATTCTTAGCTGCCATCTGGGTGCTGGAAACTGAACCCAGGTCCTGTGAAAGAGTAGCCAATGCTCTTAACCATGGAATTGGCTTTCCAGCTCAATTCTTGAGTAAAGCCATTTCCCAAAGAGTCACCTTTCTTTTTCACTCAGTGAGCTCTGTTGGGAGGCATCTTCCCTTCACCTATGCAGAACAGTTCTGTGCAGAAATCTCTCTAACGCATTGAATTCCATGCTCTCTACCCCCAGCTGCCCATTTCAAATCACCTCATCTGTGTCTCAGCCTCCTCAAACTATACCTCAAAATGTCTTGTTCCGTTTCATAAATATAATTTAAGTATAGAAGCTAAACTAGTATTTTCTGATGCCTCAGATAAGCCAATGCTCTTAACCATGGAATTGGCTTTCCAGCTCAATTCTTGAGTAAAGCCATTTCCCAAAGAGTCACCTTTCTTTTTCACTCAGTGAGCTCTGTTGGGAGGCATCTTCCCTTCACCTATGCAGAACAGTTCTGTGCAGAAATCTCTCTAACGCATTGAATTCCATGCTCTCTACCCCCAGCTGCCCATTTCAAATCACCTCATCTGTGTCTCAGGCTCCTCAAACTATACCTCAAAATGTCTTGTTCCATTTCATAAATATAATTTAAGTACAGAAGCTAAACTAGTATTTTCTGATGCCTCAGATATGCAGAGTCTCCTCTACCCACCTTTACTCCCACTAAGCACATGCCTAGTCCTCATCATATCCATGAAAACCCTCAGCACTTTTCTGTTTTTGCTCTTCTAATTAAGCCCTTCAAAATCTCACTGGTTCCAACCAAAATGGCTGACTGTCCACTCTCTTCCTGCGAGAAGCCTCTTGAATGACCCGTGTGTCCCTTGTTGATTATTGCCCATCTGCTTAGTGATAGGCATAGCATTCAGTTGCTCCTACAGGGCAGCTTTTCACAGTCTCAAGGCCATCCACTAAAATCACATGGCGTAAGTCTAGTCTTCCTTCTGCCTCACTCATTCAGTCATCCTTTACTGACCCTTTCAAGGGTGGCCCTGAGCTCTCTACAAGGAATATCAATCGGGCATGGTAGGATGTTAGCCAGGAAAAGGCCTTCACTTCTATGTATAATTCAACTTCATTTAATAGCACAAAAGAGCATCTGAGGCCTCTCATGAGCTCATGTTCCAATATCATTAATACATTCATGAGAAGCTTGAATACCTTAGGCAAACAATTTCAATAATAATTATAACCATAACAACAATTGTTAGGTGTACCTCTAGGGCACCTACCATATATTCCAAATACATTATTATATATATTCATGATAATTTGGCAAGTACAGAATTATGACCTTAATTGTAGATAGAGAACACAGATTTCTAAAATGCATAACTGCAAGACTCTACAATTAGGAAATGATACAGCAAAAATCTGAATGAGGGTCTGTCTGACCTTCAACATCTTTTCTGCTTCTTGGTGTGGTATCGCAGTAAAAACTAAGGATGCTGTCCACATGGGCTATGGATTGGCTCTCAAAGAAACTCTGGGGCTCTGAACGTGCAGCTGAGTGAGCTCTGAGAGTCTTCAGAGGCCTAGTTGTAGCTGATTCACAGTATTCACAATTCACAAGCATATTTGAAATGTGTAGGTTGGTTGTCAGACATCTAAGTGTGTATTATATGACAGCTTCCTGATTTGCTTCACTTATGGTCTTTTATTAAAACTCTGTGGGATTATCATTCTAATTACATCTTCCATATCTGTAGGTTCCTCATCCACAGTTTCAAATAACCACATTGAAACATTTTTTAAAAAGGTCTCTGTCCTGAACATGCACAGATCTTTTTCTTGTTACAAGACCCTAAGCAATCTGTTTACACAGAGCTTACATGGTAGGTATCAAAAGTAATTAGAAATTATATGCAGGCAGATGTAAGTCAGTTTCATGCAAACACCATGCATGGTATATCCCAGTCTGAGCAGCCATGGATTTTGTATTGGGCAGGAAAGGTCTTAGAAACAAGCCTGTTTCCTGAGATTTTTTTTTTATCATGAAAGCTATTTAGCACTTGGTAACAGAACGGCTCCATCTAGTGGGGCAATTCAGCTATACAGCAGGATAGACAAGTGTGAGGTTAAGTTTCTTATACTAAGGCCAGAAAGCAACAGCAATCTCAAAGAACTGATGCTGATTATGGCATGCCAACTCAGATTTGGCTATATCGCCACAGCAAGTGTAGACGGCGGGACAGAGGTAAGGTGCCGGGAGAGCTCTGGGTCTGGCTGCAGAAAAGCAGGGCAGCAATTACACCATCATGATTATCAGGAGTCAAAACATGCACACAAACCAAAAAGCAAGCAAGCAGACTAAGGTTTGGGGCTTTGGACAAAACCAAAGTATTTGAAAGTCACTGATCTAAAAACTAATCTAAAACTAGCATATGCCTGCAAGATGCCTATAACCATCCTGGCAGGGCAAGGCTACTCTAAGGTGAGACACTTGGTCCCTTGGGTTAATCAGATTCTTGAAACAATGGTCTCCGAGGAAATGGAATTCCTCCTCACAGTGGGAGAAGAAAAGCACTGATACTTGTGCCAGCCAGAGCTGCAACTTCTCCCCAGGAAGAGCTTTCACACATTCTGAAAACTTGTCAGGTCACTTTGCAAGAGAGGCTGGAGCAGAGAGGAGGATGGTGGGTAGGGGCACATCTTGATGGGGAACTGCTTAGTTATGCGCACCCTTGGTCTCTGTTTAAATACCATCCTTTTCTCAGAACCTCAAAGCTGGACATGTCGGGGGCGGTCACTAGACCTCTGTATTTATTCCTCATCTTAATGTGGCCATATTGCACAAATCTGTTTTCTCTACTTTTCACTATTGCTCACTATTAACTGGCCTATTGAGGAAGAGGCTCTGACCCCACGAGTTCCAGAACCGTGCCTGGAATTGGAGGTGTGTTTAAAGGCTTGCTGGAAAAACTCACATGCTTTTATAAAGATGATTCAAGAACTTTTCCTTTGGCTGAATAACTTTTAGAAGAAATATACAGCAATATCTAAATTATCCATGTTTTACTTTATAGTCTTCAGTATTCAGTTGTGGGAAGTTCAGACATGCCTTGGTACAGCCAGAAGTGTAAGGGAAGGGAACCAAATCTACTCACTTATATGCATTTACTGAATGCTTCCTCTAAAAAGGTAAACTTGGGGAAACTTCCACTTTCATGAGATTCCATTATTCAAATGTGAACCCAAGGGCCAATGCAGACTAGGGAAATCCATCAGGAAAGGAGGAAGAGGAAACAGGAACTTGAGAAGCACAGCACACTGAAGGAGCAAGATGTGGTCACTGGAGTCCTTTTACCAACAGAGCAGAGTGCAAGCCCAGAAGCTCAGTGAATTCTGTCCTCCAGAAACAGAGACTCCCAGGCTCCTTAGCTCTGCAACACTGCTCTGAGCTGCATCATGAAGATTCTTCCAGAAAAAGGGTAACTTTTAAAAGTCAAGAATATGCTTTTGACAATTGTCCCCAAAATGATTATCATTAGAAGTATACAAAGAGATGATTACAGTAACTTCAAGTTTTATTAAAGATGCTTAGAATTCTTTTTATGAAGGGGAGGGACAGGATTTCACGTATTTCAGGCTAGCCTCAAACTTGTTATACAGCCAAGAATTATCTTGAACTTCTGATCCTCCTTCTCTTACTTACGGAGTACTAGGATTGCAAGAATGCATGGCCACACTTGGTTTATGTGGTGCTGGGGTTCACTTCGAACCCAGGGCCTGTGCATGTCAGTCAAGTACTTTACCGAGTGAGTGACATCCTCTGCTGGAAGTGTGTACAATCTGATATACTAAATGCTGTTTTCAGATGTCTGGAAAGGCCAGTGGACACAGACTTTTTTGATCATCTGAAAAACTGGAGTTGGCGGTGCCCTCAAGAGTCATCCGTCATGTTAACACATACAGTCATATCCCTGTTGTTTTTTTTTTTTAATGTATTAAAGGTTTTGAAAACTTACCGCCCAGAAGAAACTGGCTTGGGTGACCCAGCATTTTCAAATATTTGAGCCTTTGCTGCCACTCTGCAAAATATGTTTAAATGCATTTAATAACATTAAAATATTTTAATAATTAGAATAGTAAGTTTAAAATGAAGTTAATCAGAAGAATTCTGTTCAATGAGAAATTCAAATTCTCGTGCAAACAAAACAAAGCAAAAAAGATTAGTTGAGAACCACCACCCAAATTAGAGCCATGTTTGAACTGGTTTTTGCTTTCATGTGAAAGAGTTTTAGCTGTGGCCTCAATGCAAAGCATCAGGCGATAACCTACGGCTTGCTCCCCGGCTCTTACTGTCCTCATCCTTTTACCTCAGAAAACTGAGGGCACAAAGGAGACACTTTGTCCCCACTCAGCCCCCAGCAGGCAGCCTGTCATTTGCTCCTGTGGAACTGCCATGAAAGAAAGAAAGAATCAAATCAACATGGCAGAGGATAAGCTGTTGTTCATTCTGATGTGACTAGAGGAAACTCAGATGATTTCCTGTGTTTCTGACCTGTGGACACCTTTCCCATAAAGTGAAAAGGACACACTCTGAAAATATGGCCAACGAATTAGCTTGTTGATGCCTGTCTTGTTTCAAATCATGGAGTGTGTGTGTAAGGGTCGGGGGGACAGGCTCTGTCTCAAGAGGAGAGGCTACTGAGTACAGAAGGGAGACAACTGCAGTCAAAGTGTCCTTGATACCCAAAAAGTGTTTTGTATTTGCCAGAAAAGAATATTAAATTCCATGAATGAGGTCCTAAATTCGACTTTAAAATAATCTGTTCTTTAAAAAAATTACATCACATTCTATTTTGTGAGCATGAGGGGTGGGTCACACACAGGACATGGTGCACGTGTGGAGGTGAGGCGACAGCTGTGAGCTGGCTCTTGCCTTCCACTCTGTAGGTCCTGGGATCTAACTCAAGTCGTGAGATTTGGCAGCAATCTCTACCTGCCACGAAAAGAATATTAAATTCCATGAATGAGGTCCTAAATTCGACTTTAAAATAACCTGTTCTTTAAAAAAATTACATCACATTCTATTTTGTGTGCATGAGGGGTGGGTCACACACAGGACACGGTGCACATGTGGAGGTGAGGCGACAGCTGTGAGCTGGCTCTTGCCTTCCGCTCTGTAGGTCCTGGGATCTAACTCAGGTCGTGAGATGTGGCAGCAGTGCCTCTACCTGCCACCTCACTAGCTTCAATCTGTTATTTTTTTAATTGAAATTCTTGAGGCTGGAGAGATGGCTCAGTGTTAAGAGCATTGGTTGCTCTTGCAAAGGACCTAGGTTGGATTCTCAGCACCCACATGGTGGCTAACAACTGTCTGTAACTCCAGTTCCAAGTTCCAGGGCAATCTGATGTCCTCTTCTGACCTCTACAGGCATTGCGCAACACAGGTACACTTACATACATGCAGACAATACATTCATACACAATAAACAAACAAAATAAATAAATAAATAATTAGGTCCTGGGGACCATTTCACACCTAACACAGAATGCATTTCCTTGTTTTAATTTCTCCATTAACTATCAGTATAATGATGAAATACAAAAAGCAACAGGATTTGGAACAATGGAGCTGGGAACTGACTGGAAGCCACCTCCCCTGAAGGCTAGCTCTCGTAGCTTTGGAGAGCACTACACAAGCTGCTAAGGGAGAACATCAAACGATGGTCCAACCCCATCTTTAAGGCCTAATAATCAATCAATGTCTGGGACAGCAAATGACATTGGTGCAGTACTGGCACTTTTATCTTGGGAGTAATCAACAGCTACCTAATCAGACTTAAAGCCCACTCAATGGGAGGAAACTCACATGTGGTACTGTAAACATAGCCAAATACACATGGCTGGAGAGGTCATAGATCTTAGAGAAAAGCCATAAGGATGTCAGATCCCTAGACAAATATAATTTCTTACTATACACTAAATATTTACAGACAAGTATCCCAGTCACCACTCATCAAAGACACTTCTTTCACATTAGAGATTATTACAGAGTTCCACAACTGGTCATACACAGAGATTGTCAGTGAATTTCCCAAGCCTAAGTGGCACATCTACAATGCAACCTCTATGCTAAGGCTCCCAGAACACAGTACAAGGGGTAAAGAGGACACTGATGAATCTCAATTCTCATTAATGAAGCTCCCTCATGCAACAGAGGGCCAGGAACACAAAAGGTCACAAATGGCCAAAGTGTAGAGAATAAGATTCTGCAGAGTGTGGGTCCTTGGACAGCACTCCCATTTTAAACTCCACCTACCTAAGGCTCAGGGATGACTGAGGAAGAGGGGGTGAAAGGATTGTAAGAGTCGGGGAGGAGGTACATGACCATATAGAAACAGAGTCGTACAGGCTCCCGGGACCTTGCTCATATGAGCCTACAGCAATGGTGCCACCATGCACCAGACCCGCGTACACTCAAGCAGACAGAAACCCAGCACAGGACAGTGGAAATGGGCAGCAGGACCCAATCTTACTCGAGGAATCATTGGCAGCTGATTACTGCTGGGTGAGGAAGAGCTGATCTTAAAGGGAAGAACTCTACATAGGTTGACTAGATCCCAGTGGATGAACTTGCACAGAGGGATGTCTGGGGACACTAACGTGACACAATAGGCCTTAGCACAAATGACAGAATGTATGAACTCCAGTCAGGGGGTCAGGGGGTTGGGTGGGCTATGGGAGGGCGCCAATGGAGAAGGGGGCATAAAGATGATTAATACTGATTTCCATATGAAATACACGAAAATTCAATAAAAATTTACAAAAAAAATACAAAATAGAAGGCCTTTTTCCTCCACAAAGAATAGAGTTTATATTTTCATATCTCCCTAACATATTCCTATAAACTTTAATTTCTTTTAATGGCATACAAATAGATTCACCTAATCCTCTGTAGCTGGACTTCTGACCAAGAGAGTTAACACATGTTGAACACGCTGCACCTAAACAGCTTTTGTAAAAAGAAAGAAAGGATGGATGAATTGAAGATACTCTACTTATTGAAACAAACAAGTTTAGTGCAGCACTGGAGTAGACTTTCGATGAATAAGGGAAATGAGAGGAATATGCTTATAGCGCCGATGGGTGTGACAACAGAGACTTGGGAAGTTAGGGAAGCTGTACAGTTAGGAATGCCCAGGTGGGAATCCAAACTCGCAGTTACTAGCTGACTCAGTTTCTGAGACTTGCTAGGCACCTGTTCTCGCCTCTGAAAAGGGCTTTGTTTATATTACCCTATTTTGTTTTGTTTTGGTTTTTTTATTTGAGACAGGGTCTCAGTGTAGCCCCAGCTGGCCTGGAACTCAATATGCAGACCAGGCTGGCCTTGATCTCACAGAGATACATCTGCCTCTGCTTCCTAAGTGCTGGGATTAAAAGTATACACCACACCAGGCTATATTAACGTACTTTGAAATGAGACTATAGACCTTAGAAGAGATAACACATGTGAAGACAGACAGCAAGAGCTCATATACCATTAGGAAATGTACAGCCATCATCAGGAACAACAGACAGATGAAGAACTTCCCTCTGGTTTTCTTTATATACTCTCCCATTCATTCCTCAGGATCCCTTTCTGCTCCCACCTATGTACCTATGTCCTCAAGCTTTACATTTCTGGTCACTGTTTGGATGAGTACAGAGAAGCCCAGAAGGGAGGGGTCATAAAACCCTCACAGTTAGGGAGTAACAGTACTGATAACAGAGGGGAGCAGAGGGTACCTGGCTTTAAGAGGAAGGCTTCTAGTTCCAAAGCCACTCAATTACACTCTATTCTGCATCTATTTTCACGACCTTACATTGAGCCACAGCTCTGATCAAGGTATTTGAAGCACTGAGCCATGAGAATGCTTATATATTCTAAGCTTACAGTAACTCATATTCCTTACAGAAGTGGGCAGCGTTCAACAGAAGTTGAAGGGACCCACCCTATAGATGGGCCATTTAACTCTGGGACCCCAATGACTCAGGCCCTCTGCACCGTTCTGAGAGCAGAAAATATAAGCCCATCCTCACTCACACTGAGCCAGGCCGCTGGTAGCCGTTGCTGGAAGCAGTGTCTAGTCTTAACCTCCTACACATTTTTGGAGGCAGCTCTGGGTTTGGTGCGGCTTTGGGTGTTTCCTTGGAGCCCACAGAAGTTAAGCTTTGAATGGATCCACTGTAGCTCTTGTTTCCTAAGAAAAAAGACCAAGAAAACAAGCAAGGTGCTATTAGCCAAAAGAACAGCAATAACGGAATACGTGTGCATAACAAAAGGAAGCGTTTTCCTCCCAGGAGAAGGGGAGGCACAGAATGTTCTTTGGGCACAGCAGTCCATCATTCAGGGAGATCAAAAATCCACAGCAATTACAAAGACAGCCCCTCACAAGGATGGAAAGATTCCGGGAAAAAAAAAAGTCACAGTGCATAGAAGTTTTAAAATCCAAGTTCAAGAACAAAGTAGAAAAGCATTAATAGTCCCTCCCGTTAAACTCAGTCCTGTTTAGTCACTGTGAATGATCCCGCGAATGACAATGAAACCGTGCCACCAGCACAGGCTCCAGAGAGGCTCACCTTCGGCTGCAGAAATGGATCTGAGAGAAGAGGAAGCTGAGGATCTTTTCAGTCCCGAGAGCCCATAGGGTCCCTTCTTGACTAGGTCTATAGGAGGGGAGATGTCCCCAGGGCTGGTGACTGAGGCCACACTCTGGCAATCCGACTCCACATCTGTTTTGGTTGCATCTTCTCGAGAACTTGACTCGGGACTAGTTGTCCAGAGACCCAGACTTTTCTGTCCATTGGAAGATGATGGGGTTGCAATCCAGGGAATCCCCCCAGATTTCTCCCTGGACTGGCAGGAAGCCGACTTTGTCATGCTGTTTTGCTCAGAGGAGTGTGAGGAGAGTGACTCGATGCTGCCCATGGGCGTGCTGTCTGGGCTGCTGCTGTAAGAGTCGCCTAAGGAGCAGCAAGAAAGACAGACAAAGGCAACAGTGGCTGTGGTCAGCAAGGGTAACGGCCATCACCAAAGCCCACCTGGGCTCGTCTGACCACGTGCTCCATGACCACATGGTGCCACGGGCATGGTAGGTCTTTACCCAGCTGCAAGACTATCCTCAGTACCAGAGAAAGGCTTCAAATGTGTCTTTTAAGGTGGTGAATATATTTTCCCATACTGTTCTAGGATGACTGTTACACATCTTTATGAGCTAACTCCTATGGGCTAATATGGCTCCTTGAAGCATTTGGGGACTGACTTGAACTCAGACCAAAATTGCCTGTGAAACAAGACTCAGAAGTAGGAGAAATAGGTTCCCTTCATGATGTTATGTGTGTGTAATTCATATATATACATATATATGTACATATATAAGTCAATAGAGGACGCATTTCTCTTAGAGACGTGTTTTGCCTTCTTTCTTTCTGCTCACAGGTGGTTTTGCGATACAAGGTCCTCAGCCTCTTTCATTCAAAGGTGCCATTAAATTTCAGCAGCACATTACAAGCTGCTCACAGCTTTGAAGAAAGGATTCTTTTTGTTTTCCTACAAAGAATATAGCAACGCAAGAAACTGGCTTTGGGTCTGAGCCATAGCTTACAGGTGGAATGCTTGTCTAGCACGCACAGGCCCTGGGTTCACGCGTACACAGTGATGGACAAATGACACAAACGAAACAAATAAAACAATAAACAAAAAGCCGACTGTCTAACTAGGGTTATTTTTCCAGTCTTCCCCAGAAAAACTTATTTTTTAAAACTCAGAAAAAAATCATACCAACTCTTTCAAATATACCTAAATTAAAAATTACTAGACTGTTTTCTATTAAATATAGACTATGGAAAAACACTGGGGCTGAGGGGGACAGAATAAAGTGAGAACGACCACAGCTTAATGTTTGTCATGGGTTCAAGCGACCATCAACTCTACCTTGGGGCTTGACTCAGAATAAGATGTTTGTGATAATCTATGCTGTTGGTTTTCTTTTTATTTCCTTCCTCTCTTTGGGACACTTTGACATCTAAGAGATGATGCTTTAAGAACAGAACGTGAAAGGAAGCAAGTCCCACTCTCCTGCTTTCTTAACCACCACTTTGACAAAAGGACAAAACCCACTGTGAGAAGCACCCAGTGTCCTTAATCACAGCCACAGAAAGCGTGCTCGGCAAAGGATGTTTTTCCTTTTGTAGCAATAATGAATTTTCTTGTCTGAGGAGCCTTATAACAAGACTAAGAGGGACTATACCAGTGTTAAAAGAGGGGTACTGGGGAAGGAGCACCCATGAGAGCCTCTTCTATTTCTCCCTAATTACCAATGAAGTGAGGTCAGAATGAACAGGAGGAGGAACGTGGCTCCCTGTGACCCTGCCTGGGCACACTTACTATCGGGCTCTGCCAGGCATGGTGTGTACCTCCCTCTGGGCTTCCGAGAGCCCGTGGACAGGCAGATGGCTCGAGTCCTTCGGGATCCAGATCGAGACTGAGGCTGAGGAAGAGGAATGCTGGGGTCTGGAGCAGTATGAAAGATCTACAGAGAAGAGAAGAACCAAGGTCAATCTGCGTGGCAGAGGAGCAGCGTTTTTGAAAAGAATCTCATATGTGCAAGAGATACGTGATTCCAAAACTGTCAGCTGAGTGCTGTTTCTCCTCTGGGTTTTCTTTGTCATGGCTCTTCTTATCTTAATGGTGGAAGTTAGATCTTCTAATATCTTTAAGAAACCTGTCTAATATGGGTAAATGTCTACGCTGAGACATGGTGATCCTATTATTGCAGTGCTCTTTCTGTTTTCATCTCAGGAGAGCATAACCCAAGGAAGAACTTGGCACTGCATGGTTCCTCCAGCTGCACAGCTCCCTCTATCCCAGCTCTAGGCTCTGGGCTGTCAAGGGGCTGGATCGAGCTGTACAGCCATTGCATATGGCCATTTGTTCCTGCAGTCCCTTAGGCAGTGACTAAGGGCATTCTTCTGTGGTCATGAGGAAGGGACCCTGGGGAGTAGAAAGATGGGCCATTCTCTCAGAAAGCCCAGATCAGACACAAATGAGACTCTGAATGGTTAGACCTTAAATGGCTGACTTTGCTTAGTAATCTACCTAACTTGACTTTCACAACTTTCCATTTCCATAGTCACTCTAAGAACTCATTCTTTTAAGGAAATCCTTCTTAGGGAGGATTTTAAGAGATTCAAGCCTCTACTCCCTAATTTTTCTTCCCACTCCCCTTCATTTTGAAACAGATTCTTACAAAGAGTCCAAGTTAGCTTCAAATTCAAGGCTGTCTCTGCTTCCTAAGGACTGCAACTACAGGTATGTGCCACCTTGTCTGATCTCATTTTTTTTCTTTTAAGTGTATTAGACTTACTATACAATAAGAGTCAAACTCGGAGAGATAAAGAGAGAAGGCTAAATTACACCGAGAAACAAGTAACACTTAAGCGCCTTCTGAATCTGAGTGGCAAACTGAGCACAAGCATGCCGAAGGAGGAAGCTTCAGAACGTCACTGCTGAAGAGTCACGCTACCTAATGGATTTTGAAAATACTGAGAAAATGAATGACAACATCAAAACTCAAAGTCTACAGAGACATAATTGGTAAACCTGCAACTCAGACACTTCATAAGACCACAGAGATCACAGACAACGCAAGACATGAGTCTCTTTAAGACAAGGCGGAAAATCTGGCTCTGTGCGTAGGGTCTCGCCCACCTTCTCGTAGTGCTCTATCAGAATTTCAACCACGATGTTCTGAAACTTAATATTCATCATGGCGGCCACAGTTTCTTCCTGCGCCCTCATCAGAGTCGGGCCAAATATGACGCCAAGATTTGAGACGGTCATGAGATTTTGTTGGCTGTGTAGCGATACTCTGAAAATTAAGAACAAAGAATCATCTTAAATTAAGGTTTCAGGAGTCATGAAATGCCCTTTTCTAACAAACTTGGTACACACAAAAATATGAGCTATGTATGCCAACCGAGGCTTGTTTCCCCAGTCTGTGTTAGACAGTCCCATCAGCACAAGGAAATACATTAAGAAGTAGAAAATGCTCTTTGTATGATAAATGGGAAATTACTGTAAATTACTAGTCATCCTGCAGAACTTATTTCTCTTATCTGACTGTCCTTGGGAATCTCTTACTGAGCCTTCCTCTGTCTCCTCTCCTTCCTAGGCTCCAAACACAAAGAAATGACAAGTTTAAGGAGATGGAAAAAATTACCTTCCCGGAATCATTATATGTTACATACAAGTATTGACTTATCATATGTGACATAGTCTGCAATTATCAATGAAAATTTAAGAAATGGGGCTAGTAAGATGTCTCACCAGGTAAAAAGGGCCTGCCACGCAAGCTTGAGAAAGTGAGTTTGATCCCCAAGCTTCATGGTGTGTGAAAAGAACAGATTGGTGAAAGTTATCCTCTGACCTCCACATGGGCATTGTGGCATGCCCATGCCCCCCCATACCAATAATGATAAATAAAATGGAAATTTTAAGTTTTAAGACATGAAGTGACATGTTAACACTAGGCAAAGAAAACAAATAAGGATAAAGGCTAAATTACTGAAGGAAGGAAATCTTGATTTTTGTTTTTTTCTGCATTGGATGCAATTTCCCTAGAAAGGCATTCAACTATTTGGTACTTTCTGTGTCATACTTCTTGTAGAACAGATCATTAGTGTAGGATATCTGTCACTATATTTGCTCACTTGATTATTTGCTGTTCCTAAGACAGGGTCCCAGTAGCCCTGGCTGACCTGGAATCCACTACGTACACCAGGCTGGCTCCACACTTACAGAGATCTACCAGTCTCTGCCTCTGGACTACTGGGATTAAAGGTATGTGCCCACATGCCTGGCTGCTGGCACTATATTTACTCAAGAAAATTAAGAGTCAATTCTCCAGGAACCTCATACATAATGTTACCCCTTTTCTTTTGTGACCCCTTTAGATCCATTTCTCTAAAGCTGTGTGAATGAAGTTGGGGGGGGACTGAACTCATGGCTTTGTGCATGCTGGGAATTGTCTGCTACTACATTATAGCACCAGCTCCATAGACTGTACTTAATAAAGGGAGTCAATCACCCTTACCATAGAGATAAAAAGGCCTAGAGACTCCCAATGTAAAAATGGTGTACCCGAGGTCATGTAAAATAGGCAGGAGATGGTCTCTCAATTCATAGCTGACTACAAATCAAGAGTTTCTTTTAGCTCCCCAGATACATCTAGCCAATACACAGGTTTGAACTTTCATCTAAAATTTCCCTGCATGGTCCCCTAGTACCAAACACTGTACTAGGCAAATTTTCAGACAAACAATGGTGATGGTCCTTCTTGACTTAAAAATGAGATAAAGAGTCTATGAAATCATTGATGGGAGCCTAGTCACCCCAGCATCTATCAAGAATGAGTCACACTAGTTCCCTAATCTAACCTGGAAATCAGATACAGTCTGAAGAGGGAGCCTTATTCATTGGTCTAATCTAGTACCTTGACTTCTCTATCTTACTCAAGCTGTGGTGTTGGGATGTAAAGTTTTAGGAAGAAATATAATGCAGGATGATGTTCCTCTTGCTGAGTGTATATCACTAACCACACTGCAAAATTGAAGGACTATATGGGAAACACAGGCCTTGAATTATTCAAGTAAATCATGACCGGATGATGTGATTCCATCCTAAGTGTTTTCCTTATGTCCACAAAGCAGCAACTAGGAAGGCTTTAAGTTAGCAGAAGAGTCTCAATCCTTTTTACATAACCAAATATGTACTGATTGCTCAATAAATCGGACATCCTACTAAGGCATGCAACCGTATAAAGACAGTGAACCTGCCTGGATTGAAACTAGGTAAAAACAATGAATTTATTTAGCATCTCTGGGCTTAGCTTTCTCATATATAAATTATGTATAGCAACACTTACAGTTTAGTTCAGAGAATTAAGTGAAATAGCAACTGAATTAATCATAATATGATCTCAAATTATATTCTCCCTTGATATTAAATTAGTTGTGGCCAGACTTGTTACAATGTCATAATTCCTGAAATATAACTAAACTGAACGAGGTACAGTCCTAAGCACAGGAATAAAATTTGAAAATATTAAAAACTTGTATTTTGAAAAATAAAGTTGATGATCACACTGCACACAAGATGGACTCCTTTTTTCATGACCAATTTTCTCTTCATTGAATTTCTCTTCTCCTGGGGTATTTCACTGACACAAACCCCAATATATGGAAGCCTATAGCAAGTGTAAGTGTAATACACATGACAACTAGCAACACAAAGGAGAGGGTGAGGTTAGCCTGCGCTGCGGTTAGAGAGCAAGAGCAGGCGGAGCCTTGAATCTACTGAAGTAGACGGGAAGGACGGGAAACAGAACAGGATGTTCGCGTATCAACCTTATAAATATATACTTGTTTCTTTTTCCTTCAGCTTTGAGCACAAAATTGCATAGAGTGATAATTCTAACAATGTGTTGTAGGATTTGTTAACATACCCAGATGTAACGTGCATAAATAAATAAGAGCACAGAAAGAAGACGCAGAGCGGTGAGCCCCTTTCTACAGCTGACAGCGGTTGCTGGTATAAATCTGACATGACAGGATGAAGGTGGCAGTCTTTAGAACCATGGAGAAAACAAGACGTAAAGCTAGAATAGACCAACAGGGACACAGGCAGCATACAGAAAACAAGAAGCTGGGCCTGGTGGTACAGACTGTCATCCCAGCTACTCAGGAGGTTAAGGCAGGAGGATCACAAGTTCAAGACCACCCTAAGATAAAGAATGAGTTCACAGCCAGCCAGGCATTAAAATGCTTAATCTTTTACTTTCTGCTACATGGCCTTACTAGATTTATGCTCACTTGAATCATGCACAGTCAAAATGGTGTAGCATAAATATTTCCAATAAATGTCATTTGAACTTGTAGGCTATGATAAAATTAACATGAGTCACTCCCCCAATACACCTCTATGTCCACCACTACAAAAAGAAAGGGCATTAGGGAGAAACAGCATCATTTAAAACTTAACATTAACCACTGACCCCTAGCAGCTATTCTCTTCACTAGTAAACCAAGAGCTCTCTGTCCTTGGTCAGAATTAGCTTTGAGTGGCGTGTGATCCTCATGAAGTTTAGCTCCAGGGTTCAGTAAGCACAATCTTGCTGTTGTTCAATCTCATTGCCAAGTAAAGCGTTTTGTTTTTCTTCAGTATTTATTTATTTATTTATTTATTTATTTAGTCTTTTTGAGACAGGGTCTCCTTGTAGCCCCAGCTGTCCTAGAACTCACTATGTAGAGCAGGCTGGCCTTGAACTCACAAAGATTCTCCTGTCTCTGCCTCCCAAGTGCTAGATAATGATGTACATACATACTGGTTTGTGTTGGGGGTTATGTGCATGTGAGTAAGGTGTCTGAGAAGGGCAGAGGCACCAGGTCCCTAGAGGAGCAGGCTATGAGCCACCCTGATGTGGGTGCTGGGAGCTGAACCTGGGTCCTCTGTAGAGTACTATGCACTCTTAACCACTGAGCCATCTCCAGCCCTGAGCAAGGCCTTTGTCAATGTGCTTTTAAACACCACCTAAGTATCATGTGAAATGTTTTTGCCTAATGCAGAACGCAAGGTTAACATAGCTTAACGCAGCCGTGTGTAGCTTAGGTCCTAGGATGAGCATCAGAGCCCTGAAAGCTCCAAGTGCTTCTGCTGCACTTCCATGCCATTCCTGGCGCCTTTCTTGAGCCTCTGAAAGGCCAAGCCCCAGGACAATCAGCAGCTGTGAAATATGTGCACAGATAACCACCAACTTCCTATAAAGACTGCAGCCAAGTAATAACCACTGCGATAGCCAAAACCTTTACACTGCTGGAAGAGAAGAATGGGATTCCGAAGGCTAAGGACTGACTCTCAACCTGTTTGATGACATTTGAGAAATAGCACAAATCGTGTCCTTTGTGTGTAGTGTATTTTTTTTTTTTTTTTTGGTCTTTTTGAGACAGGGCCTCCCTGTAGCCCCAGCTGTCCTGGAAATCACTATGTAGACCAGGCTGGCCTTGAACTCACGGAGATCTGCCTGCCTCTGCTTCCCAGTGCTGGGATTAAAGGCGTGCACCACCACGCCCAGCTGTCTGCCTCTTTTTTAAAAAGGTATGTACCACCACACCCAGCCTTGGTAATTCTTAACTAAGTTGCCTCCCCTAATCAGCTGAAGGGCTTTGGAGGAAAGAAAGTTGAATTTCCCCAAGGAAAAAACGATTCTCCCTTCAGACTGTGCCTGGATCCGAGATACAACACTCCCTCTTCTCTGAATCCCTGGCCTGCCCACCTGCATGCAGAGCTAGTTACAGCCTTTGTAGTTATGTGAGTCAATTCCTTAAAACCCATTAGTCAGTCAGTCAGTCTCTTCATTCTCTCCATGGATCTTACTGCTTTTGTTTCTCTGGAGAATTTTGATTAATGCAATATCTATCTACGTATCATCCATCTACCAATTTGTGTATCAGCTATCATCTATCAATCATCTACTATCTACCTGCCTGTCTGTCTATCATTTATTCATCTACCTATCCTCTATCATCTATTATCTATCATCTATCATCTATCTATCATTCATCTATATATCATCTATCTGTTTATCTATCAACCTACCTATCATCTGTCTATCATTTATCTGTCTTTCTACCACCTATCTGAAAATTTAAAAGCATAGATGAACTAATACCGAAGGCAGGGAAAAAAATCTTCAAGAAAAATTGTCAACCGAGAGAAGTAATCTAGGATATTAGTGTGAACTGGGGGAGCTTGTTGACTTTAGTAAGTGCAGCGTTGGTCTTCAAACTCTCTGCAAAATACTGTATACTCCTTCCTTCATTTCCAGGTTACATGAAGTCTTTTGTCATGTGTTTAGCATTAACGAAGGATATAATTACTTCTATACTATAGACATAAAAATTACGCATAAACATTATATCTTAAAAATAAACTGTAGGTCGTGTTTAAAAGCTTATTCAATGAACTCTTGATTACAACAGCAACAATATAACACCACCATGTATCTTAAAGAGCTACAGTAAGGTTAGCTTTAGCAGATAAACAAGAAGTGAAATGAACAATGAGTTAGCGAATTACTTGACCAGGTGCTTTATTAAGATGTCCAGCATCTCTCTGTTTTTCTCAGGCAGTTTGTGCACCAGCGCGTGGACAGCCTCCACCCTGTAGTTTTGGTCATCTGATTCTGTTTTGTAAAAAAGGTTAGAGAGGTAACTGTATTCAAATGAGTATGTAAACATCGGTCATGTGAACATCATAACCAGTTCTACCTCCTGCCTTCAAGTGTTGCTTTTTATATTAAGTCATCACTGTCCTTTCAAGAGTAAGAGACACTGAGGGGCTTGTCCATGTTGGGGATGCTAGGAAGTGGAGAAGCCAAACGGAAATGTTCAGTAGCTGTCGCCACTGAACTGTATATGCTGCAGCCCAAGCCATTACCTGTTTGGGTTTAGCAAGCAAGAATGAGACAAAACCTTTAGAAATGTGAGTTATGTGTTCATATGTACACACACACACACACACACACACACACACATACATATATGTGTAGACATAATTAGAAATGAATGTTGTTTTCATTGGTGCAGGTGCCCAATGGATCAGTCATTATGTCTCACATTCCCACAGAGAATCAGTTCCTTCCCCACGGGAGCAGAAAGCCGACATTCCTGTCTTTAGCTTTAGACTGGAAGGAAAAGGCAGTGGGCCATTCCCGAAGTGCCAACACTCTGTAAGCAGAAGACAGTGCGCTGGCGGAGACGACCCGAAACCCGAAACCCGAAACCCGAAATCGCCTCAGCGAGTCCAGTCCGGCCAGGCACAAGCTAACATGCGAGACGCCCGAGGCCTCCTGAAAGAGCTATCTAGCTAACATTACCTTTGTCAGTAACACACTCTGGGATCACCTCCCCTGCCAAGTCCTTTCTCCAGAAACTACAAAATCAAGATTTGTATTTGAGACACACCTATGTGGATATGGGGAAGAAAGAACCTGGCCCAGGCTCAATCTGGGTCCTCTCTAAGGAGGTGAGCTGGAGATACCAAAATTCTGAGCTAAACTGCTGCATATGAAAGGAAAAGCCATGTAGAACCAGGGCTGAGGTGACCAAAGGTAACTCAGGAGGTCAGATTGGAGAGGGAGAAGAGAATGGGCTAAAAATACAACATGAACAGAGAGTTCCTTCATTAAGCCTTAAGATACCCAGGCATGCGGACTCACACTCCCAATCCCCGCACCAGGGAGCCCACGGCAGGAGGGGCTACCATTACATTCAGGACCAGTGCTACAGTGGGAGACCTCGCCTCAGAAAACCAACACAACAAAAGAAAAAGGCAGCAAGTAACACATCCTTGCAGCCACCCAACCACCGCAGCAACCATCTAAAATAATTTTGAGGCAAAAGATATCATTCCTCAACTTCACAGTTCCTCAGTGGGGTTGGTGGGAGACCAGACTCTCTCTGCCAGAGAATTCTGTAACATTTCTAAGATTTCAGCAAGTTCTCTCTTTATCCTAAGGTGCATTAAGAGAAGCTGATACTGAGTAGCCTATTAAACAACTCAAGTTAACGACTACCAAATAGGATCATCCTTGCCTCACACCAAAGATGAATATCTAATAATATCTATCTAATAATGTGTTTTAGTTTTAGAATTACTTTTATTCTATGTGTATGAGTATATTGCCTGAATGTGTATAAGTACACCCATGTTGTGCAATGCCGTGGAGGTCAGAACAGGGCATCGGATTCCCTGGAACTGGAGTTACGGACAGTTGTTTGCTTCCATGTGGGTGCTGGGATTTGAACCCCTGTCCTCTGCAAGGGCAGCCAGTGCTCTTAACCATTAAACCATCACTCCTGTCTCCGATAATATATTTTAAATATCAGAGTATTAAGTAATATTTTCCAAAGACACAAATGAGAAAACTTTCTGACCAAAGGTTCATATCAACACAAATAATTCATTTTAAGCCAATTTTAGACATTTTAGCCAAGAGGTTCAAACACTGATTTTTTTTTTATGAAACAAAATCTCTATATGAAAAGGCTCTGGACTAAGAGTTCAAAAACAAAACAAAACAGAACAGAACAGCAGCCATCTAGCTCATAACCCTTGTACTGTTATACATTTACTTGTGTCCTTGGTCAAACCATCTGCCCACTCTGGGCCCCAGTCTTCTCATCCACAAAATGACATCAGATTACCTATTTTCTGAGGTCCTGTTCATTTTGCAAAGAAGGGTTCCAGTGAAGACCATGCGGAATAGGAAATGTTGAGGAGAAAGCTTAGAAACATAGAGCGTTTAACAAGTGGTCAGCCATGAATATTGAACTTAAAACCAAGGTCAGCCCACATTATGTGACACTTGGATCAGCAGACACTTCTAGGGACATTATAATGCCTGGTAGTAAACTAACGCAATCGAGTTCTTCCCATGGACTTAAAAAAGTACCCATAATTACAGTCACACCTGTACACCTCCACAATGAAATGCCAACTCACTGATACATTGTCACACGGATCAGATGCCAACCTGGCACTCTGGTCTCCATGGTTACTGAGTATGTATTACTAACTCCTCAGGTTACACATTCTTACTGTCCTCCTACCCCCTACTCTATACAATTTTCCAATTAAATCTATTCATGCGACACTGTCACAGATATAAATCTAAACAACTGACATAAATACATGCTTACCATAAATAACTATAAGGGAAAGGCAATTGATGAATGGATTTGTTACTGTCTCATAATATTTTATTGTTTATTCCAAATTTTGGAAAATAGTAGTTGAGCATGGATGATGATGTAACTATCCACACATATTTGCAATCTTCTTTATTTAACCATAAAGTTTCCGTCATTAGAAATGTGTTTAGTCACTCGAGTAAAAAGAAATCAGAAAGTGCAGTGAGGAATTCTAATCACAGCAGACTGTCACCTCTACAACAGTGTCTTGTTTGGGGGTCAGAGTGTCTTCTTAAGTGACAAAATATTTAATTTATTCCGTAATTCTTACTGACTTCTAAAGCACAGAGCATGCTAGTAAATATCATATTGGCAGTATTTTAAATGATGTGTGAAAAAAAAAGAGAAAAAGAAATGTAAACTTCTATGTCTAAGAAAACGAGCTAAAACTAGGCCAGCTCCACCCTCCAGAAGTGAGTGTACTTACTGACAGCAATGATAAAATCCTTGTGCAACTTGTACGTCATCAGCGGCTCTGCAAGGCACCTACGACAGAGAAGCAAAGAGAAGCCTGAAACCGTAGTCTCTGTGGTGCCCCTATGCTTCAAGGGTTTCTTTTGGAACCTGTGATTATTTTTATCCAATTAAACATAAAGCAATAAATAACAAAAGAATTGGGTGGTTTGTCACTATGACAAGATCCTAGAAGGGGGCTCCATAAGTTGTAAAATGTGCACCTCAGATACCAATTCTCCTGAACGTGCTTGTCAAAACTGTATTAAAGGAACACTGCTTGGAGGTGAAGCTAAGCTGGTGGGGTGCTTGTCTAGGATGCAGGATGCCCTGATTTGATCCATGGTACCACATACACCATACGTGATAGTACATGCCTGCAGTGCCAGAACTGAGGAGGTGGAAGCAGGAGGTCAGAAGTTCAAGGTCATCTTCAAGCACAGAAACAAAAAATGAAGCAAAGCGAAATCAAGATATGGATGCTAGAACTTAAAATAAATAAACCCATTTCAACGCGGACCTCAGATGAACTTGCACTGAGGGAGGTCTGGGGACACTAACGACACAATAGGCTTTAACACAAATGACATGTATGAATTCCTGTGGGGGGCTATGGGAGGGGGCCAGTGGGGATGGGGTATAAAGATAATTAAGATTGAGATGTTCTATATGAAATACACAAAAATTCAATAAAAACAAATTTTAAAAACTAACAAAAAGCCCCACATACACAATGAAACAAAAATGCTAACTTAGCATGCACAAAATGTTGCAGCCTTTTAAACTGCTATTGGAAAACTGAGCCACAGTTCCGGAATGTGAAGCAGGAAAGTCTCCACTGTGTTGCTTCCTGCCCTGAGGCCAAGAGCTGAGGATCAAAGCTGTGTACATGAACTCATTGAATCACATGGGTACTGTCCAGGGAAGGGGGAGAGGGATCATGCTCTCGAGCCCCGGAGTTAACCCCTCACCTGAGGTAGTTTTTCAGTCCACTCGTTATAGTCTTATTGTCCCACAACTCAATGTCAATGTCAATATCAGGAGGGGATTTGGGTGCTGGAAAGAAGAAAATTGGAGATGCTTAAATTCCATTTCAAAATATTGCATATGTCTGGATGAAAATGGACACCGACCTCAGTAGGTCTAGAGGAAGGTATCCAGTCACTTGTAGGCGGTCCAGGAGTCAGCTCAGGATGGTGGCCTGGGGAGAGCTGGTTGGACGCTCACTCTGCCTCTAACCCTCAAGATAACTTACAGAACCACAGTCTCCCAAATCAGATTCTTGCTAATGGGTCAGGAGCATGCTTCTAAGAGCTTGCTACTGGCCAACATTAACTCAATTCCCACATCTTTAAAAAAAAAAATTCTAATTTTTTAATTTTTGAGAATTTGATACATGAGTAGTTTCCATCCCTCCTAGTTTCCCATCAGGTCCTCCTATGTCCCCTGATTCCTTCTCGATTTCTTCTCCTCTTCTTTGATTATTATATGTAAATTCATAAATATACATACACATATACACATACACACACACATATAATACACTGAGTCTGTTTAGTGGTGCTCATGTGTACCTGTGTTTCTGAGAAGTTATTTAATCCCAACTGGCCAGCTCTAATCCTCACATACCTTAAGAAGCAGGTATTATTATCATCCCCAGTTTACAACCGAGGAGGTAGAGATGCAGAGAAGTTGAGCAAATTATGAGAGGCCAGAAAGCTTGTGACTCTTGATTCCAATCAAAGAACAGACTCTAAGCACCCATGCCTCTTACTGTACCATTAGCTAACCAAACTTAGAAAAAAGTGCAAAATCACACACACAAAAAAATGCCACCTCAAAATGACAATTGTTCATCTATTACAGCTCAACATTTAAAACTGAGGTCATGGGCCACAGGTGTAGCTCAGTGGTAGAATGGGTTCTTATGTGCAAGGCCTTGAGTTCAGTTGGCAGCAACCCACATCCCCAAACGAATGCATACCTTACCTTTAACAATGACACAAAATTCACAAATAAGTCATCATCTACATGTCTGAGAAACCTATGATTGGATTACCTGTACAAAGAACAAAATTAACTATGCACCTGTTTCATAACTTACAAAATGTGGTGTTCATGAGTTTCTGAACCTTGGAGTTCACCCCGCCTATTCGGTACAGGCCTAAAATGGTGATGCCTAGAGGGGAGGAGAATCACAAGAAAATGGCTTAGGAAATAGCTTCTCAAGTACAGAACGTTAAAAACCCAGATATATAGCCATGCAGAATCTAAAAGCTACTTATCCAATTTTGCTGTGGCTTTGCCAATCTACTCTGGAAACACCTGCCCCACAGAGTTCTCAGAGCAGACACTGAACAGTGATTTGAAAGTCTTTGAAGATCTTCAAAGTTGCAAAGTGAACCTGCCTTTCATCATTATTTAAATATAAAAAAGACATCAAAAATGAGATCAGAATTCTTCATCCTCTATTTCTTCTGAGTCACAGAGTCCTGTGTCACTTAGATCTTCATTTTAAAATCAAGGAAACAGATTCAGGGAATCCAAGGAACCTACTTCACGTCTCAAAACTTGGAAGTGTAGCAAAACTCTGAATGTCAGTACATAGAACTCTGGAGAACAATACGACTTTGGCTTTAAACACATTTTTCAGGAAGGGGAAGGACGTAACCTCTACCTGGAGTGCTTTGGAAGGTCATGGTTACTATAGGGAAAGATGTCACAAATGGAGCAGCACTTAAAATCCCCATGGGACAGACTATACGTTCAGGGATCATCTCTATAGCTCGTTACTAGAGGAGTTTCTCTGTGTAGAGCACCAGAAACCACAAGGAGGAGGTGCAGTGTTCTCTCCTGAGCCTGAAGCCGGCTGGGGTGCTGCTACTGGCAGCTGCCTTTTCCCACTGATGATTGTTCTGCTCTGCCTCTGGCAGAGTTAGAGGGGGAAAGGACAATCTGAGTGGCAAAATAAAATAAAATATAAAATAAAATAAAATAATAAAATAAAATAAAATAAAATCCCTATGGGAAAGAAGGTAAGGCAGGAAAGGGGCTAAAGACAGGCTCCCTAAGGTCTCACCTCACAACAGTTAAAAAAGAAAAAAGGCCTAGAAAGGCTTACTGTGATAAGTTGTACTTTGCCCTTCAGCAAGAAGCAAACTGAGGGTGTATTAGGAAAGCTTAGGAAAGAAACAGTCTAGGGGCTGGAAGGCTAGCTCAACAGTAAACAGCACTGGCTGCTCCTCAGGGGACCCAGGTATGATTCTCAGGACCCACATGGTGGTTCACAATCACCTATAACTCTAGTTCCTCTTCTGGCCTCTGTGGGCACTGCACGCATGTGGTGTACATACAGAGACACAAGTACTCATATATACAAATAAAATAAACTAAGTAAATCTTTAAAAATATAGTATAATTCTTTCTAAATTATAGTTCAAGTTATAGCTATTTGTATATTCATATAATTGATACATTTATAGCAATCTCAAAATTACTTTTCTGTTTACACCCCTAAACTCACCACTTGTTTACCAAGAGGTTTGCACAGAATAGGACACAGGATAGTACACCTGTCTGCAGTACTCACCCCTTGTTTCCACAGCTTGAATACATTTTCTCACGAAGTTGAAGCCTGCTTCATTTAAGTACACTGAAAGTGAGAAACAACCATGCTAAGAGTTGGTGTTGAACTTGTACGTCCCCTTCTTCCAGCTGTGCACGGCACGGTGCAGTTATTTCATCACATTCTGTGAGAGCCCACGTGCACTATTCCATCCACTTCTCCTAAAACTAGCAGGACCTTCCTGTGCTGGACGACTTTAGTGTCAGCCTGACACACCGGGGTTGAGGGCGCCTCAATTGGGGAATTGCCTCTATTGGACTGGCCGTGGCCATGTCTGAAGGGCATCTTCTTGATGAGTGATGTGTGAGGGCCCAGCTCACTGTGGGTGGTGCCACCCCTGGGCAGGTGGGCCTGTGATGCATAAGAAAGCAGGCTGAGCAGGGGCCAGGAGAGCAAGCCAGTAAGCAGCGTTCCTCCATGGCCTGTGCTCTAGCTCTTGCCTCCAGGTTCCGGCCCTGAGTTCCTACCTTGGGCTCCCTGATGAACTGTGACCTGGGAGATGTAAGACAAATAAACCCTTTCCTCCCCAAGTTGGTAGTGGTCATAGTGTTTTGTCACAGCAATGAAGAAACAAACCAGGACACTTCCCCTGTGCTCTCACTGAAGTCTCAGTCAGAAAAAACCCTTACCATGAGTGGAAGACGATATTGTGACCTTTCACATAGTTATTCTTTCCCATGTGACTCTCAAAATACTATGAGGCTCTTAAGATAATTCCTGAGGTTGCTGAAAACTTTTTTTTCTGTATCCTAAAGTCTAGTGCTCTGGGTGTTTGGATTCTAAGTCGAATGGCTTTTTCTAGTGCATCTTGTTTTATATTCAGAATAATTTGAACAGGCTCAGTCAGTGTGCTAAAAGTTCTCCAAAAGTCCTGGGGTAGAAACAAACAAACAAAAAAATTTTCATTCTTTGCGAGAGTTTCTTTAAATCAGCTTTAGGGCTGGTGAGATGGTTCAGTGGGTAGAGACACTTGATGCCAAACCTGACAAGCTTTCAATCCCCAAGACCCACAAAGTAGAAGGAAAGAGGTGACTCCTGAAAGTTGTTCTCTGACCTCCAGAAACATGCCACGGTGCATATCCACACAACAGATGATAGATGATAGACAGACAACAGACAGACAGACAGATGTAATAAATCTGCTTCAATTTTTTAAAGTTGTGGGGCCCAAGCCAAAGTTGATTAATTATATAAAGGAAAGGCATGTCAAAACACCCAGCAGCACCCAGCAGGAAAACTTGGGGACTTTATACTATAATGATTTTCACCACATGTGGTAGAGATATATTTTTTTAAAATATGCTAAAATAGTAATAAATGAGACTTATTCCAACCAATAAAATCTAAAACTGGCTTCCATTTTTAAAATGGCTGTCAATAAAAATATTATACACATAATTTCTTTCTTACATATTCATTTTGAGAAAAATAAGTAACAGCCAGGCTATCCATCAAAGGTAGATGAAGATAGTGGGCAATGATGCCCTCGTCTGCTCAAATAAACCCTTATACCCTCTGACTACAAAGTCCTTCTCAAGCTGCTTTTTCCAGTGATCTCCAGGGATCCTGTACTTAGGCTCTTCCACGACCCAATGTATCCACCAGTTCAGAGATGAAGAACTGTGTTGGCAGTTAATCAAGAATTATTGCTTGTTGTTTTTGACTATCCTCTTTTTGCCAACTGTGTTGGCAGTGTTGGCAAATTAATCAAGAATTATTGCTTGTTGTTTTTGACTATCCTCTTTTTGTCTCAAAGAACAGAGTTCCAGAGTACTGAGGTAAGGCTCAGCTTTGACTAGAGCCAGAAAAAAAGAACACAGATGAGTCCCAGCTCCAGCAGGACTACTGCATGGATTAGAGCGTGCTCATTAACTTTTATGAATGAGGTGCTTCATTTGCTGAAATGAGAGAAGTGAGTGGCAGGAGATATGGTAAGGGTTGCAGTCCTGGATTACACAGGCTTGAATTCCAGCATAGAAGAGGCCTAGGATGGAGTGGAGATTTGAGGCCAGCCTGGGCTACATAATGAGACTATGGTAAAGCAAACAAACAAACAAAACTAACAGCAACCAAAAAACAAAACAGAAACAGAAGTTGTGGGGAGACGGAAACAAAATTGCATAAAGTACTCAGGAGAGCCAGCCCCTTGAATTCAATATGTATGACTGAAAACAGGAGAAATGATCAATGAAACCAATCGATATTCTAATCTGACAAGAGAAGTATTTACTCTTCCAGTTAAAATGTATGTTACCGGGGTGGGAGGATGACAGTGGTTAAAGCAATTTCTGTTCAAACTTGAGTGTGGCATTAGATCCCCAGAAGCCCACGTAAAATACAAACATGGTGGCTCACCTCTAATTCCAGTCTTGGAAGGTGGAGACACAGGAACCCCAGAGCAAGCTGGTTAGTATGACTAGCCAGATCAGTGAGCTCTGGGTTTGACTAGAGACCCTGCCTCAATGAATAAAGGGGAAGAGTAAGGGATGATTCCCAGCATCAACCTGGGCTTCCACATGTGCCCACACATATGCAAAAACATGCACACACACACATGGAAAAAAGCAAAAATGGATGTTATTAGGCACATTTTTAATCTCTCTGTTCCCACTTTCATAAAACAAAGATTGGAAATTTCATCCTTATAGGACTTCTGGAAGCTAACATTTGCAAAGCTCAGAAAACAGTGCTTCAAATACAGTAGGTGCTGTAGGGTGTTGGTTCTCTGGCCATGCCTGCTGTCAAACGCAGGAGGATGTAAACTCGACATATGGCCACTTCCTGGTGGAGGCCGGCCTTCCTTCCTTCCTTCCTTCCTTCCTTCCTTCCTTCCTTCCTTCCTTCCTTCCTTCCTTCCTTCCTTCCTCCTTTCCTCCTTCCTTCCCTCCCTCCCTCCCTTATTTATTCTCTGGGTACGTCAGCAACAATCAGAGCTTGAGGGATTGTTAAGCTGGAGTGCTATTTTTCAAAAAGGCATATTGCATTACACGTTTTTTTAAACATTTGGGGCTGGAGCGATGATTTGTTTCTTTAAACAAACATAGCTCAAGCACATAATGGGGAGGCTTTGTGAACCTAGGAGACCACTAAAAAGATAAATTGAACATTAAGAAGTGTCCCTATGGGCTTATTATACTTCAATAAATCACAATGATCAAATGTAACCTGTCACTGAACTGAGCAGACTGTGTACACTGAGGTTGCTGTTTATACATATTTACCGCCCTGTCCTTCATGAGGGAAGGTTATATGTCTCAGCATCTGTGCAGACAGGCTTGGTGATGTGACAGATGCCATCCAATGAGATGGAATGGGCGTGATCTATGTCACCAAGAGCCAGGATGCTGCCTGCCATTTTCTCTTGTCACTGGCCTAAGATCACTGTGCTACAGATGGCGGCTACTCTATGAACTTGAGTTTCAGAGAAGTGAGCCGCTGGGGAGCTGCGTGGACATGCACTGTGAGCCAGAGAGGAACCTTTGTTGCTGAAAGCTTCTGATATCTGTGGGCTAGCTGTCACCAGCGCCTGGTCTGACCAGCTCTCACTTAATAATGTGAAACTTAAACAATTTTGCTGTCACCACAGGGAGTGAGGAAAATCATATCAACTCCACACAATTAGCGTCCTTAATGGAAAAATAATCCCCTTTGGATTCCTCTCTTGGTCATTACATAATAAAGGTTTATTTGACAGTTTGATTCCACCTGAGTGCACAGCATCCTCAGCTGAAGTGTGAGAGGAGGAGGCGTACAAAGTCTGTCTCCCAATGTAAGACGGAGTCTCAGGGAGCGTTGGGTTGTGCATAAGTCACGTGATAAAAAATAAGCAATTTTCCAAAGCCATGAGGAGGCTAGGACTCTTCTTATAACAGTGTTAGTGAGAATTCAACTAAAATAGGTTTTCTACAGCCTAAGAAAAGAAATCTGTTTACTCCTTAATGTTTGGAGGAGCCAGTCATGGAGAAGGTGATTCCTAAACCACTAAGAGCGAATGTAAGTGGGGAGATGGCTCAGTAAGTAAAGCACTTGCCATGCAAGCATGAGGGTCTGAGTTCAGATCGCCATGATCCATGTGCAGCTCGACTTGGCATGGCCATCTGTGATCCTGCAGCTCCTACAGAGAGGAGAACGGTGGGGAACAGATGGTCCCTGGAGGCTCGCAGGCCAGGGAGCCTGGCATACAGAGTGGAAAATGAGAGACCTGCATGGACCAACACCAGTGGCTGTCCTGCACACAACGCTGTGGTCTGAGTTCAGATCGCCATGATCCATGTGCAGCTCGACTTGGCATGGCCATCTGTGATCCTGCAGCTCCTACAGTGAGGAGAACGGTGGGGAACAGATGGTCCCTGGAGGCTCGCAGGCCAGGGAGCCTGGCATACAGAGTGGAAAATGAGAGACCTGCATGGACCAACACCAGTGGCTGTCCTGCACACAAGACTGTGGCTGTGGGCTCGCTCTCTCTCTCTCTCTCTCTCTCTCTCTCTCTCTCTCTCTCTCTCTCACACACACACACACACACACACACGGGGAAAAGTGCTTTTGCTATGATGGAAGGGTAGACGCGGATGTCTCACACACACACACACACACACACACACACACGGGTGGGTAATAATATTTTTAATGTGAACATTTCTTGTAATTCTCTTTCGGCAGAAGAAAAGTGCTTTTGCTATGATGGAAGGGTAGACGCGGATGTGTGGCTCTAGGCCCATGGCTGCTTGAGATCAGGCAACCAAAATACACTTGCTGATCAATGGCTTGCTACTTTCTTTCCCCTTCTCTCCCAGGCTTGATTGAGCAAGTTCTTTAATAGCTTCTAGAAGGGTTAGAGAGAATCTGCTAACGGGAACAATTTGCGAGCTCTTCCCCAGCCCTGTCCTGTGCCCCACCTCATATCTCTCTGTTTTCAAGACGACCAGAGAAATACTCAGAATCCAACTACCACCAGATTCCCAGACACTGAAATTCTATAATACCAATGGCGTTTGGCCTCCAGCGATAGAAGAAGTAGACAGCTTAACTTAAGAAAGCTAATTTATTCAATCAAAAGTTAAGTTTAAACATTTTCCCCCTTGGGAAACTGTTCAGGGATAGAACTTTTATTGAAACCCAACTAAAATTTCCATGGGGCTGTTTAGCAGTACAAAAGCGATTAATCTCAACAGAATTCCAGCAGCAATAAGGAACAGAATAGTCTTCCAGAAACCATGGAAGCTTTTAAAAGGCCTTGTTCCTTTAACTTCCTCTTATTCAAAACCCAGCATGTCCTTACACATGTAATGTACCTGCCTTTACAGAACATTCTCAGGGTTGCTGAAACAAAGAAAAGCTTGCTTTAATTTCACTTTTCTAATCTGGAAGTTCAGATTAAAAGATATAGACCTCTAATACCACATTGTACGTGCCTTAAGGGAAATAGAAAAAAAGAAATGAATCCATGTATTGGTGTTCACGATACACATAGGACATTTTCTCTTTTCTCTCTTCCTTCTGGAAGACAGCCCTTTTTACTATTCAACCCATGAAATGCACATGAGCTATAATTCTTTCCCATTGAAAGAAGACTGCATTTGAGCAAAGGTCTAGGGTAAGATGAGATGCACGACTAAGTTATCTAGGACAGCTGAGAAGTTCTAGAAATAAACTATCCAAGCAACATGAAGCCCAAGAGCATTTATCACAAACACACAAAGATAAGCTTAATTTCTGTTTCATGCTGGGAAGAACACACCCTTAGGCACATGTGGAGAAATTCTCTCAAACAGTGGCCAAACTTTCAAGCTGTTCCAAAACTTCAACAACATTAACTTTGGTATTCCCTCTGATTTTGTGTGAAGACTCATTCAGATGGCTTGGCCCCTATGCTGCTAAGTACTGACTTTCATTAATAGAAGCATTCATTGAAAGGGCCATTCTTCATCTCACTTGACACCCCAACAACTGGTTGTTGTTTACAGGGTTCTCCTGAAATTAGGAGTTACAGTTTTCCCTTAGGTTGTGTTTAGGAGAATGGACCAAGCTAAAGGTGAGCTTCACCAGCAAGGGTCAAGTCCCAAGTTCAGATGTTCTTTTGATTGTTTCTCTGTCAGGAAATGTAACTCGTTTTATCTGGGGCTTACTCTATAGGGTAAGCCAGAGAATAAAATGTCTTATTTCTGATTAACAGCAGAAATTGCTTTTAAACTCAAATTCATAAGGTCTCTGTTCTTTAAAAAAAAATCTCTTAAGTCAAAAGCTAAGAAGCATTCACACAAAAGTTTTTAAAGGGAAGAAAAAAAAGAACTTACTTTCTTCTTTCTTGCTAATTATAGCAGGCAGAGTATAAATCTAGAAAACAAAGGATGTCAGTCAGTTACTGCAGCTGGCACAGAAGATTGGCAAGGTGGTGTTTACACTAAAACACAAAGAAAGAGAGCCTTGGCTCAAGGCCCTAGAAGTGACCCTCTGCCCACCGACCCCCCGCTGAGGTTCCATTCCTGAGGGTCCAGCCTGGGCAAAGTTCAGTCCTTTTCCATCCACAAGGAGCCTTCTTCAGGAAGCTTCCCACTGTGGAAACCATCTGATTGCTTCTCCCTCAAATGACCTGCCTGGTCTGTGCTTCCAGTATACATAAATCCTAACTTGCATGTTGCTGAGCTAACAACTCAGGCCCTGAATTTGCTCTAGGCTAGTGCTTCTGAACCATTTGTGGTAAAAAGTTTTAAAATATTAAAAACAATCTATCACTGATTGAAATTTTTGCAATAAAGGTAGAAATACAAAATAATAAACAGTGCCCGATCTTTTTATTATTCAGTTGAATGGACTTAAAATGACTTTTCCAGATGCACAGATGGGTCCTCAAAAGCTAAGGCATAAATGCCTATACTCATCTGATTGTGGTCTGGGAACAGGGTTTAAGGGAGGGCCTCGGGGTCAGCAGACCACAGCGTATTAGCATCATTGATCAGGCATTTGGTTCAGACTGTTGCAGGGTCTCTGTGACTGACAGAAGATTCTCGACTGTCAGGATAGCACCTCCTGTTTACTCTGAGTGTCCTCAGACTTCTGACCCAACAACAGTGTTCATTAAGATAGTACACCTCAATGACTCCTTTCCTTTCTACCTAAATCTCCCTGGTACTTCTAAGCAAGCATCACTGAGTATCAAAATGACATCAGGAACCGAGGATGTCCATAGAAGGGGAATGTCTCTCTCCACACCTTTGTTAGACTGTATTGTTTCTAAAAAAGGCCTGGACCGGAGGGTTAGTACACACCTTCAGCCTTGTTCATTCACAGGCCTTGCAAAGACAGGTGTGTGCTGAGCGCTAACCAAATAAGTGACGGCTGAAATGTAGCCAAACCAATTACAATTTTTTAAAATAAATTTTAGGGTTCTACATTAGTCTTGGGAACCCCCTACAAAACAAATTACAAGGTGGGAATTAAGTGTCAGTGGCACCGATAGGCCTCTCTCCTCCGATTTGTTACTTTAATATTTTCAGCTACATTAAATACATATAAAAAAAAGGAGGCATTTTGTAAGTTTTAAAAAAATAAAACTTAGAGATGATGTCACTTTCTTACCGGTTCCTTGCCATCCATGGCCTCTAACCAGAGTTTCCGGTTAGCTTCAGAGAACGCCTGCAGTGTAATGATGCCATGCCTATTGAAAGATAGACACTCTGTATGTTAAATTCACTTCTACTGTGCTTACAAATTTTAAAATCCTTAATTAATATAGTCTTCCTGGATTCTTTTTCTTTTTTTTTCTTTCTTCAAATTTTACCTTTATACGTGTCTTTCAGAAAAGTCACTCTACAACTGCACACACAAACACACACGTTTTTAATTTAAACACTGCCAGGTAGAAGATCATTGTGATTGTAGGTACAGGACTGTCTGAAGGAGCTAGCTTCAAACCATTTCCCCTGAAATGGTCAAAAGTTAAGAAACGCATATCTACCAATGTTCAAAGTCACCTGACTGCTCACAGTGAGAGTGACTGAGCTCACAACACTGATGTAGGATGAGCTAGTCACCAAACAGCTACCGTAGATGTAGGAAGCCTCACATCATAACTAGCCAGTAATTAAACACCCAGCAGAAGAAAAACATTTATTTGTACCATGCCCACAGTATTAAAATCTGAAAATAACTCTCAAGTTACGTGTGGATGTGCATGCCTAAGACAGGCTGAGGTCAGAGGATCACAAGTCTAAGGCCAGCTTGGTATACTTAGTGCATTTGAGGTCAGAGCTACAAAGTCAGACTCTGTGTCAACAAACACACAATGTCCCCCAATTTTCTCCTATGCAACCATTCTGAAATGGTTTCTAAGAATGTACTTCCACATGAAAAGAAGACCCAATATAAGAAGAAAAAAATAGGAAATCTTATATAGAGAGGAACTGATTTCGTTAGCCAGACAATTACAGGGCTCCGGAAACGCTGGGAAATAATTTTCATTATAAATGTTACATGATTAAAAACTTGATTCACATCACTCTTGTAAATAAGATCGGGTCATTGGAATGATGGGAAAGGGAAAAATGTGCATAAGGATCCAGATTATTTGATACAGAATTTGTTTTACTTTGTTTCTCAGAGACGGATTCCATGTACCCCAGGCTATACACCTGTGATTCTCCTGCCTTGCCCTCCCCAGTGCTGGGAAAACCGGCGTGTGCTGTGGTGCCACTGCTCGATGCTGAAGAGTTTAAGTCGATGTCATGGCACCTACAGCACCAATAGTAACAACCATCAGCATTTGCTGGATGACTTTGTTTCATGTACTTTGTTAATAAGTACATTTTCCTTATTATCTTATTTAATCTCCATGACAACTCTTGAGATGGGGAATTACTTCGGTTATTTTATAGATTAAATAATTAAAACACAGGGTTTAATAATGGGTCCCAAGTTATTGTACCCATAATATGCTGTAATAAACCAAATAAAACATTAATACACTCATATGTGCTTACATAGAAAGTCTAGAAGTCTCAAAAACTAGTTAGAAGTATAATAAGTTGCAAGTTGATGTGAGTTGCTCTTTCCTAACATTACATCCTATGGCACGCCGAAGGTCAGCTAGAGGCACTGAACTTGGCCAGCTGTGGGATTCATGGGATTAGTCCTGGCGTCTTCTTGTTCCTTGGTAACAAGATCACCAGACTTCTAAAGCCTACAAAAATGCTTGTCCTGAAGCTGGTAAGGATTCTCAGTTTCTGCCCCTTTGCTGGACACTCAAGCTTCCCTGTGAGCTCTGCCAGCTGCGACAACTTTCCAGGTTCTGTGACGTCACTTCTGGCCGGCAGTCTGCCTCAGATTCATTTTCTTTTCCAAAATATCATACAATAGATATTTGTCGAACAATTCCATGAAAGAATGAAATAAACACAGGCGTTTACAAACACTTGTGTGATGGTTCATGCTCATGTCTGTCTAGACACAGAAACAGAAATCAAGTATTTAAAAATATAAACTGAGAAGAAATGCTCAAACCTCTCAACGACTTCGATGTCAAAGCAGAAACGTTTGTCAATTGAATCTGTCTTCCTCCGGATACATGATTTTAATTTAAACATTTCTGGTGAACTAGTCACAAGCCCATTCTGAAACAAGAAAGGTACCACAGTATTAACATAATAAGGTAAACTCAAATTCATGCATCTAAAGTGATCAATTAAAAAAATGTTAACTTGATGGGCCAGTGACATGGCTCAGCTGGTGGAGGTGCTTGCTGTCAAGCCTGATGACCTGAGTTCAATTCCTAGGAATTGAACATGTAGGAAAGAAAGAAGAAACAACTCTGCAAAGTTGTTCTCTGACCTCTACATGCACACTACAGCATGTGAGCCCTCCAAAATACATAAATACAATAAAAACGCTTCAAAATAACTGTGTGTAAGATATACAAAAGGATTAGTCATACTCTGATTTTTAATCTTCTAGCAGTAGTTGTTCAATTGCAACATATTAATTCATTTGTTAATTGATCTCATATGTGTTTGACTTCAAAAAATTCTGCGACACGCCTGTTCAATACTTTCCAACACATTTTACTAAGAATATTAACATTCACTGTAAAGTGTACATACCCTTAGGCCGTCAGGTTTAGGAAAGATATGAAATTATAGTTACTGCAATATCATAATTGGATGTACAGTATGTGTTAGGATACTATACAATTACTACACCAAAATTCCCTACAGGGCAGCTAAGGGATTATTCGTATGATGTGACTGCACCTTTGTATGGGAGCCTTGAGTTACTAAACAGGACCTATCTCCCATTCACAGAAGAACCTCCAAAATAATATCCATATGCCATGTTGCAACTGCCTGCATGCACGTTTTCCTGCTGAGTGCCTGCTACCCTGCTACTAAAACAGAAATTCTGAATGGGACTGAACCTAGGCCTATTCATAAGAATTCTCTTCTACATGTGAGAAGGGAAAAGTTTAGCTCAATGTTTGGTTAAGCCTGACTTTGATTACAAATCTCACAGATTTAACAACACTTTGACTGGATCGATTTGCATTACTAACAGCCTGACTGTCACATAAGTTAAATTTCAATCACTACTCTAAGACAGTGGGAACTAGACTCGATTGTGGAACTTGATAACTGCAGGGCAGTATCAGTCTGGTATGATCCCCTTTCTTTTATGTCTTTCAGTTTGAATTATTGGGCCTGAGCACAGTGACTTTCAGTGGACACATATGAATATGTTTCTAGCTTCCATCATTTACTTCTGCCGTGACAAAACTACATCACAACTGCCTGGGTGACTCATTTACTTTCCAGAAACCATTTCCTCATCTGCTACAATAAGACTGGACTAAATTACCTTTAGGATAAATTCCAGTCCCAGAATTCTTAGATCATGACCATATTCGCTAATTAACAAGGTCAGTGACTGCCACATTCATACCTTAACTCAATAAAAGGCTGCATGCAATGTGTAATAGATCCCTGCAGCCTTTCCTCAGGCAAGGTGCCCCGTGTGTGTCCTGTATTAGTGGCTAGCCCTGTGAGACATTCAGTGACCAATTTACTTTGTGGGTAAGGGAGCCTCAACTGGTTTCAGCTGAGAAATTTGTTAGCCAGCATTTTGGTATGTGAGCACACAGTATAGAAACAGGCAAGGGTGTGCACAGACAGCTGGAAATCTGCTCCTTGTCTGCTCGCCAGCCAGTAGCACAGGCCATTAAGTGCAGCCAGGCTGAGAGGGGACACCTCAGTCATTGCTGGGGGAGAGGGATGTGAGGAGACAGACACCTCAGTCATCTACTGGGGGATAGGGATGTGAGGGGACACCTCAGTCACCTATTGGGGCATCCCTCTGTTTCATTCAATTGCTTCTAAATACATCATGGCCTAAGTTAAAGGAAGATTCTGGACACTTAAAAAATATGTATTTATTTACTATTATTTTATCTTATGTGTATGAGTGTACTGCCTGCATGCATGTGAGTGTACCCGTGTCGTGCAATGCCGCAGAGGTCAGAGGCAGCTTCGGATTCCCCTGGAACTGGAGTCGAGGATGCTTCATAGCTGCCATGTGGGTGCTGGGAATCGAACCCGGGTCCTCTGCAAGAGCAGTCACTACTCTTAACCACTGAGCCATCCCTCCATCCCCGGCACATTTTTTTATTTAAAGCACATGTGATGTTTCATTTTACTGCCATTGCTTAAATAACAAGCACAACTTGAAAGGCAGGAAGGAAGCTCACTCACCATCTTCCCACTGGCTTTCATTTCTGAGACACTCATTGTGAACGTTTTGCTTCCTTTATCATACGTGCAGTAATGTTTAATCCATGTGAAACCAAGTGGTCCTATGTGGAGACAAAAACATTTCACATTTGAAGGGATGATTGGGACCTGTGTACACGTGCACACTGCCACACGAGAATCTCCACACACCATGCTAGACGAAATGTTCACTGTGAGAAAAGGTGAGAGAGGACCGTGTCATGGAATCAAACAAGCAGCTGAACTTGCAGCTCCCAGACTCCCTGGAAACCCATAACTTAGTCTATATACCAGCTTCGGCTGTCTTACCTATAAACATGGAATCCAATCAGCAGGGTTGACCAAGTATGCACAGAATATATTTTAAAACCCAATCACAACCATACTGAACATATCTGAACTTTAACTTGCCGACAGGGTCTTGCTATGCAATACAGGTTTTCCTCAAACTCACCATGTAGCCAAAGCTGTCCTTGAGCTCATGATCCTTCTGCCTTAGCCTCCCAAGGGCTGGGATTACAGGTGTGTGTCATCACAGCTGGCAGCTTATTTGATATTTTGTATTTATTTTTTTATTTTCTGTGTATGACTCTTTTGCCTGCATGTATGTAAGTGCACCATGTGCATGCAATGCCCACAAAGGTCAGAAAAGGGTGTCGGATCCCCTAGAACTGGAGTTACAGATGGTTGTTAGCCACCAAATGGCTGCCAGGAACACATATTTTGTCACTCAATAAATATTTCATGAAAGAATTACTTTCCTCAAGACTTTACCTACCTTGGGCTTGTTTTATCACTGATTTGAAAGAAATAAGTTCATAGGTTGAACACAGAGCTCAATTGGCAGGGCACTCTGTAGCAACCTATAAACCAAGCACAGTGGTGCATGGCTCTCACAGCAGCAATTCAAATGTGGAACAAAAGGAAAAGAAGTTCAAGGTCATCGTTAGCAATACGGCAAGACCAAGGTCAGCCTGGACTTTGAGGAGAGCCTCAAACTTTAAATGTACTCCTTAAAATGAAAATAATTTCCCATGTTTATATTATTTACATTAAAAGAAACTTGTTAGTAATGTTCACCTTTATGTCCCCCATAAATACCATCCAACCCTTCCCCATAGCACACCATGTTATTAGCTGGCACTTGCCGTAAGGGATGCTCCTGCATCTCCAGTGGGATGTATCCTTAGTTCAACTTTTCTATGACAAAGTAGGGGAGAAACCAAGTTTCCTAAATCTAAATGCCATGGTCGGTTGAAAATAGAGCTTGTTTCCTAAAGGTTCTTTATCTACACCCCCTAGTCCCTCTTAACACCCAAATTTCTTAGCCACATCTACACATAATGGTATTTCTGGCTTGACTTCAGAATCTTATATTCAGAAAGCAAGAAATCAAAACACACAAAAAAGCAACTCTTGAGACTCTTCTGTGAGCCATTTGACTTCTTTTTCTTTAATAATAGTGTCCTGGAGATCCATCTCACCCACCCACGGCTCAAGGACCATTGCGGAAGAGGAGGCGGAAAGACTGTAAGAGCCAGGGCTGGTTCGTGAACATGTGAGGTGGAGGCTGCCAGGCCAGTGGAGGCCTGCTGATGGGAGCCTGTGGCAGCAGTGGCATCAAGTGCGGGACCCATGTCAGCTCAATTAAACAAGGGCCCAGAGGGCAGGCAAGCAATAGCTGGCAGGTCAGCACTACACTGAGAACTATTTGAGACTGGTTGCTGCTGGGTGAGGGAGAGTATGACTTATATATAACCACCGGATGGGCTGATGAGACTCCCGTGGATGCATTTACGCTGAAGGGCATTTAAGTACAAACACCTGAATGAATAGGACTCAGCTTGTATGGCAGAGTGCATAGGATTTGGTGGGGGAGGGGGAGGCATGGATTGGGGAGGGGGTCTGGATGTGAGTGGGAAATAGTGTATGAAATTTTAAAAGCTCAAAATAAAAAGTTAAAAAAAAAAAGTGTCCTGGGTGTTAACTTTAACTTCAGTTAGTGTTTAAGCCACTCCTGACTTTAAAATGACAGGGTATGATGCACACTGTCATCAAAAAGGACTACAGTAATTAACTTCAACTCTGTTGAGAATCATTTCACACTATAATACTTGACAATACTTGCTGATACCCTGTGACATGCAGTGTAAAATCCTTAACAACTCAGAGCTGATTCCTGGGAAATAGATAGACGGAAACTAGCAGAGAATTCACGACTTAGGAAGCAATTTATGAGGTGGGCTCAGGCGTAGTTTTCACATGAAGCTGCTACATTGCTCAGGTGGTATTTTAGGTGGATGATCTTTATTTTTCCTGCCTCTATCTTAAGTTTGAAACCTTCTGCATTTAACGCTGAAGTTCGCTACATGCTCCTGCTGGTTTTTTAAAGTTGCCTGGCAGCAACCCAGGGCAGATGTTCTTAGAAAAGCAATTTTAAAGTCCCTAAAAATGTCTGCGAAAATAAAAATTTATCACAGCTCCAAAGCTGAAAGGTAAAAGTGGCATACTAATCTTCCCCAGTAATCATTAAAGGTTGCTTGATAAATATTTGAGGAGAGGAAGGAGAATCAACGTTCACAGAACACCTACTAAGTGCCTACATTCTACCTCAAGACCTATAAAGTCACACATTACAAAAGAGCACTAAATATCTAAGAAAATCGAAACTCCCCACTGCAGAAAGGAATCAGAGATGTTCTTTTTAGAGAAGTAATATTCTCAAGTTGTTTAGGAATTAAGTGAGATAAATGCAGGCTATACAAGCAAGGGTTCCTGGGAAGTACAGCAGTTTTAATATCACCATAGGAAACTGAGATATTTGATATACATTTGCTTTAATTCTTGGAACATCATTAGGAGAGACATATAAAATTTCCTCTTTCAGAACAAAATTCTAAGTTTCAGAGAGCTGAGTTGGTAATGTGTTTGCCCAAGCATGCGCAAAGCCAGGGTTCTATCTTCAGCACTGCATACACTGGGCGTGGTGGCACACATCTCTAAGCCAGCATTAGAGAATGCAAGTTCAAGGCCAGTCTGGAGGACACATGAAACCCTGTTCCCAAAATCTATCCAAAACAAAACAAAAAAAGCTGATGAAAGACACAGAATTCCGACAGACTTTTAACTCTGGAACTCACACACTTCCCAGTTCAACTGAGGACTGCAGGCTGTGACTTAATGCAGGCCCAGAGGAGGCTAACACAAGCAGCACACATCCAGATCAAGCCCAGTTCTGGGTTCAGGCAACAGGGACCTGCGTCTCTCCATCACTTCATGTGGGCTGCAGAGACAGCGCCAACGGTGCACACACTTTTGGAAAACCTTGTAGACTACATTTCAAATCAGTGCCAATTACAAATCAATAAAGCTGCATAAAGAATGCAGGTGGATCCAGAGAAATTCAAGGCAGAAACTATGTTGGGAGAGAAAGGCAGTATCAGACAGTGGTGTTCTTAAAAAGAGAGGGAGTGTCTGCCTGTGAGGGGCTCCAACTCCAGGCCCCATCCAGGGTCCCCCACAGAGGAACAGAATCATAGAAGCATTTCAGAGACAGGCCTGTATGTCTTAAGATTAAATTTTGTAGCCTAGGGGAGTAGGAGGTGCCATCAAGACAAGTTTAAAAAGCCTCAGAGGTAAGATTAGTACTGAGAATGACTCAGGAAAATCAGATGCCTCACAGTAAAGGAAGCCAGCATCAGATGACTTCACAAAGCCCTGCACGTGGTCCACGAAGGCAATCCTCAACCCCCACATTATTGGACAGCTTATACTTAGCATAGACTCTTGTTCTTAAATGTCCCACAGCCTAGGAACAAATCAGCAAGTCATGGCCTCATCCAATGGATGAGCCACAGATAGTGACTGAAAAACAGTGATTTGAAGGCTAACTTCAAGATAATTTTGTTAAGTAATCAGTTTTGTTTACTATGAAAAAAATGCGTATGCAAGGATTTCAGCAACTATCTACTACCTAGGGAAAAAAAACACAATAAAATATTATCTGGTCAGAATGAATAAAAATTCCTAGTCCTGAGCTGGTACCCACACCCCAGGCCATGTCTGCAAAGCACTCTGTTCAGTGCCTCAAATCCTTCCCTTTGGTTAAATCCATAATAAATTCAAATATGAACTCTCAACCTAACTTCACATGGATGCTTCAAATCTGAGATTTAGAACAAACATGGTGGACTCGCAAGCCAAATCCATAGCCCACATTATATGAACTAATGGACCCTAAAAGCTATTTATTATGCTATAATTAGAAACTAGCTAGGAAAACCATTACAATTTATCACTTAGGATCTGATAAGAACAGAAGCAGACAGTTAATGAGAGACGATCCTAGCACCCGATCTGAGCCTATGTAGCTTTTCCATCTAGATCATATAGTAGTACTTTTGCCAAGTTTAATGTTTAATTGTAGGTTGCTATGCAACAACTGAGTGTCTCGAATGCAACCTTTATTGGCATGTTAGTGACCCACGTTACATATATCTATCAATATCGTCCACCTCTAGGTTCTTCCTCACAAACCTTTCACTACATTATTTAACTAAACCAACTTTGCTACTCTTTTACCTGGTGACTTGGAGACATTAGAGGATGGCCCTCCAAGTATGTGCCAGTCCCAATGGGCCAGAATAGCACAGGAAGGGAGAAAACATTTTGAAGCTTTGGTGGTCATTTGACACTGATGAAAATGTAAGCATATGGCTTTGTGTTTTCCAAAAACCCTGTTCCCCGATGGACAGAGATAACAAATAACAGTTCCTTCACCACAAACAGGAGAACAGCACTTTAGGGCATATCTGACTTGAAATAGACTTAATTTAGTCAAAATGCTCAAACTGGTTTCATTTAATGACAACACAGAAAAGACTGGAGTTATAGCAATCTGAATGGATTTATATTAATTTTTATGAGAAGAACTTTTCTAGTATGAAATAATAACAGGGCTCTATGGGGTCTGGTACTTATTTTCTAAAACCTCTAGAAGTCAAGAGTGTCAATGTGACACGACATAATTGCCAATTTTACTCCTGAAAACCAGCAGAGCCCAGGATTTAATTAAATAATGCTGTTGAGAAAAAAAAAAAGAAAACAACTATTAACTGTTATTATAATCACTGTGGTGATTCAACCCAATAAAGGCTTTGATTTTCAATTTTCTGTGGAACTTTACATTGAGATGGGGTATCACAATTAAATTCTAAAAGCAAACTCAGGGTAGCATTATCATCAGAGATTCTAATGTTGAAACCCAAAATATTGCCTTAGTTTGGTGATGAGGATGGCGAGTAGCAAACTACTTCAAATTCCATAAAATTATAAAGAATTTTAGTCTCCCACATGAAGCCTAATTTTCAAGTAACCAAGTCACATGGTGCAGAAACTGTACGGGAAATCGTGAAATACCAAAGCTCAGGCCCAGCGAGATGGCTCAGAGGTTAAAGCGACTTGCCACCAACACTGATCGCCTGAGTTTGATCCTCAGGACCCACAGTGAGGAAGGAGAGAACCTACTCCTGAAATTGGTTCTGTGACCTCCACATCAGCACCGTGCACACAGTGTGTGTCAACACATATATACAACCACACACACACACACAAAAAAACATTAACTATTTTTAAAGAGGAACTGGGAGGCTCTGTGGTTAATGAGATTGCTGAGGACTGGAGTCCTGATATAAATGAGAGTTGGGTGTGGCACCCAACTTATAATTCCAGCCTCCATACGTACTCCCACACATATACAAACGTGACACACACACACGCTCACATGAATGTGGAAAAAAAGAGACATTCAATCTGCCTCTGGGGCTCACGTTTCTCCTGGACGTAAAGGTAGCCTTCCATGGTCCACTGGCTGGGTGGTCTGTAATCCTGGTTGGCTGACTTCATCCTCTGCATCAGCCTCTCCACTTCCTGGCGAGTACTTTCAAAGTTATTCCTTGTCTGAAGCAAAAAGAGACAAGAGATTCACTTTGGAGCTTTCTGCCAGGTTTGGGGAACTTCCCAATTACCATTTCAGAGTTGTAAATGTTACAAGGAACTGTTTTCGGTCCTGTCCATCGTAAAAAGGACCCTGCCGTGCTGAGCCCTGTGGTCTGTTCTGAATTACTTTTGTGAAAGCACCTCTAGGTGTCCTTCTACAGTTTTCTCCTCTGACTCTTTGTGACTTGTGGCTGTGTGTGACAGACTTTCTATCTTGACACTCTGAGTCCACAGAGGTAAACTGTTGCAGTTAAAAATACTATTCACTTGTTTTCCATTAGACCAAGATAAAAAGCAGATACACAAGAACTTTGTTTCTTTTATGGAATAAAAAGTGATGTCTTTGATACATGTGGCAATGAACAAGTTAAAAAGTGAGAGCTCTTCCATCTTGTCCCTAAGGCTTTTTTTGAGGAAACCTCACACATCTCGGTTTCCAGAAGTAAGGTACTTAACATAGTAATTAAGACACTAGTATGAAAATCATTCCTAAAAATCAACAGACTTCCAAGTTCTAGCTTCTTTTGAGAGTAGTTTATATATTTGATAGTAAGTTCACTTAAGCAATAGAAAATTTAAGCTTTTCTCTGCAAGCCTCTTTTGCATTCAGAGTGTGTTATCTTGAAAGCATGTCTGAACATGTGAAAACACCAGCACTAAGACTAAGGTCTCACTGCGGTCCTTAGGGTGCTTTTCTGGGGACTGTTCTGTAAGTTTTCTCTCTGAAGTGCAGGAACTGAATCTTTTCTCAATTGTTTTCTCTTCTGTTGCTGAGTCATAGAGATTTTGATAATTTAGCCACTATGGAAATAAATCACAAAAATTCTTTGGCTGCTCTAATTTTTTTTTTTAGGTCTTTTTGAGACAGGGTTTCCCTGTAGCTCCAGCTGCTCTGGAACTCTCTATATAGACCAGGCTGCCCCTGCCTCCTGAGTGCTGGGATTAAAGGCATGCGCCACCACCCCCCAGCCTAATTTTATTATGTATATACGCATTGGGCAGTCCAGCACTGTAGTTTTACTTACTAACATCTCTACAATGACAAGACTCAGATAAGCAAAGAGACACCAGCTTTTTACAGAACACATGAAAGCTTTGGAGGTTATTTTGGCTAGCGTACTAGACACTCAGGGTTTCAATGATAGATAAACCTCAACAATGAGAACTTGATTCTTTTCCAGGTTCAACAAGGGCAGAAAAAACATGGTTAAAGCTATTAGTTGTTCTTTTTTAATTTAATTTAATTTAATTTATTTATTTATTTTATTTTCAGAGCTTAAAAGGGTTAGAAATTTTTAGAAAAAAATAAGTCTAGTAAAAGTAAACAGGCTATTTGGAAATAATTCTCAGTTATGTTTTAAAGCAGTTATTTCAAATGCTTCAAAATTGCATGCAAACTTATTAGCAAGTAAGCAATATTACACATGCCATATATAATTTCAGAGACATGGGACTTCAGGATGTGAAAGGCTGAGACCTTTGTTTTGCAAATGTAGAAAAACTGCTTTCTCAACAAATAAGACTTGTGTAAGGCAAACCATGATTTTTGTCTACTTGTTTTTATTTTTGTTTTTGTTTTGCTTTGAGGTATAATCGATGAATAAAAAGTCTACATATTTTGGATGCCCATGATGGTTTGATATATTATGAAATAATTCCTAGAATTCAGTTCTGTGGCATACCCCTTGCTGTGTATAGTTACTATTGTTCTGTGGGCTGAGAACATTTAAGTTCCATAATAAATTTCAAGTGATTATGCAATATGCACTCTACTCACCATGGCATACGTTAGAATTCCAGGCTCTATTCATCCCGCATCACCTACTAAATTGACAAGAACACTACACAAAGGCAAAAGTCTCCCAACCTCCAGGTGCCTACACCAGGGTAATATTTAGTTTTATAAAATGTAGTAGTACACATTTTTCTAACATAACATCAGTTCTTTTCTGGTATATTTTCAGCTAGTCATTAGAAAAAATCCCAAATACATTTATGAAGTGGCTTTTCTAAATTATTTTAGTTTGCCATATTTAGACAAGGTATGACTTGGTCACAGTAGTCACCCTGAGGTCATTGCTAAGGAAAGAGTGAGAGCAGGTGCAGCCTTACATTCTGCAAGTTGAACTGCAGCTGTTGCTTATAGGGTGCAAATTCCTGGGCAAGTTCATATCCCTCGTGGTAAAACGTAAATAAACCCTGAAGGAAGGACAAAAGCTGCAAAGAATAAAAAGTGAAATTAAATACACACAAAAAAACCAATCATGAGAACTTTAAAACAAAAGGATCGTTCAATATATAATACCAAAGAAACTGTAATTCATTTCATCGTGATTTTTCAAATTCATGCATTTTCAATCTCTTTGTTTGGCAACAGGATTAAGAACGTGAAACAGAAACCGCAAGAGGTCTTGGTAGATGGTGACCTTTCATCTTCACATCTGGCCATGAACAGCTGTCCCATGAACTGCTCTGCCAGTCAAAAGTATTATGAAATAAACACAACCACAAGATGCAGCAAGGTGGAGGACAGAGACTAAAGCACCATAATCCCTAATCAAGAAAGACCTCAAACCAGAGCAGAAGATGAGAGACGACAGATCCTGTGGTTATGAGGCCAGAAATCATAGGAACCACCAGCCCAAAGGCAGAACCCATTGTCCAGAGGAAGGTAAGAAAAGCCTCCACAAGGGGGCAGCATGGATTTTGGTATTGGATTGAGAGCATTTTATGTCAAGGAATGACAATTCAAATTAGGTAAGAGTTAAATCAAAACAAGGAATTACCAAATGACACAGGATTTTCCTATCCAGAATAAAGTCTTCAGAAGAAAAAAAAAAGATCCCGACCCTAGCCTTGCAATCCCAAATTCATTGGTGCTTAATTGCTGTAAATTTATCTGTACAGTAAGGCAGGAATTATGAGCACATATGTACATATAAGTGCTATCAAGAAACATAATTGATTTGATATTGTATGTAATAATTCAATGAGATTTTATTTCACAGACTTATTCAGTTACTTGATCTGCCTACAGCCTCTTCCTGAAAGAAAGAAAATATTTTTTAAACAGGCCCATAATGTCTGTAGCTTATTATTTTTAAATTAAGGAAGAAACACAATCTGAAACCATTTTCATATGTGAGTAACTTCCTGCCTCCTCCTCTGTCTGGGGAGGTGGGCGGTCCCTGCCAAACATCAACCCATGTGTGTGCATGCTATGATTTCCAACACCTAAGAGCAGGTTCTACTAAAAAACAATGACATCATGCTTTTTTTTCTACAAATAGGTCAACTTCATGCAGAGATATGTTCAGATAAAAAAGTTTCAAAATGCTTTAAGTTTTTATTTTCATTTAATTTTAACCTCCAGTTTAGAAGAAACTAGAGCCTAAAAATGGATTTCAAAAGCTGTCCATTAGACCCTTAATATGTTCATTTAGATTTTTCAGAAATAAAAATAATAAAATACTTATAAAACAGATATTCCAGGAGTCCTGTGGCTTGCTGTTTGATGGTTTAGGAAGTTATTCAAAGGACACTGTTCTCTGTGTGGTGCGTCTGTAATTACCGCATGATGAAATGGTCTCACTGTACACGAGATGGCATAGAAAACAGACACTATTTTAAAACCATCATGAGCTGCCACGTTAAATAAATTGACAAGAAAGATATTTTAAGAATATCTACAATACATCCATAAAGCACCTAATACCCTCAAATCCATTTTTTCCTGATATTCTTAGTGTTCAGAATATGGGAAAAGACAAAGTACTCTGGTGTCAGAAATGTGGTATCAACCATTATGAATCAAACCTCAGACATCACTAAACTCTAACAAATGGCAAAATGTTATCATCAGGGCACAGAGCTTTATGATGTATGGGAATTCTTGATTCTAGCTTGGTGATCCAGCCCTAAAATTATGTTATATATCAAAAAGATAAGATGCGTACAGAAAGTGTGTGTACTCTCCACTGTGCCCGCAAGTACCTGACAAACATCCTTTCACAAAAAAGGACTCCTGATGCCTATCAGTTCACTAGGGCTCCCAAAACTTTCCTATGGAAGTCATTTGACAAGAGACTGTGGTAAGTCAATGTCCTACTTTGCTTTTCTGGTGCTGTGATTAACACCATAACCAAATGCAACTTGGAGAGGAAAGGATTTATTTCAGCTCACAGATTGCAGTTCATGGTCCAGGGAGTCCAAGGCAAGAGCTAAAGGCAGGAACCTGGAGTCAGGAACTGAAGCAGAGACCACGGAGGAATGCTACTTACTGGCTTGCTCAGCTAACTTTTTTATACCACCCAGATCCACCTGCCTAGCGATGGCACCATCTACAGTGGACTAGGCCTTCCTACAGCAATTCAGAAAATGCCTCACAGACATGAACAAGGGCCAGTCTGATGAAAGACATTCCTCTTCCCAGGTGATTGTAGTTTGGGTCAAGATGACAAAGAGAGACCACAGAGACCTGATGTCAAATTCTTAATCATGCTTTAAGACGCCCGAATCTAGTTCCTCCACTTCACGGACATAACTGTATACTACTTCAGTTGAGATGAAAAGCTGTCCACCAGCATCTTCAGCAGGGTTCAGATTCACTTAATAGGAGCCACATGCTTTCTCTCACAACTGCATGAAAAGCATGCAGTAAAGACTGCACAATTCTGATGAAAGCACATTCAGTTACACACCAAGAGGTGCCTTTTTTCTGTACACATCTTTAGAAGTGCTTTGGAAAAGTTTAAATAAAAATGTGTATGAAATAACAGCCTCTAGATGGCAGAAGAGTTCAACTTTTCTTTTTCTTTCTTTTTTCTTTCTTTCTTTCTTTTTTTTTTTAAAGATTTGAAGCCCTTGTCCAGAAACTCCAATGGACTCTCATGAATATTTGAATATTGCCCTGTTCTGACTTTTTTCTGGCTCCCTGTCTAGAACTTGTAATGCTAACTACTCTTGCCTTTACTTCTTCTTCACATCCCCTATTCATGATTCAAGGACTTTCTTTTCTCCTTAGAGACAAGAGCTATGGAATCTGGGAGTCTTTTAGATAGACCAACTGAAGGGGTACCCCAACTGCCTCACCCTACATCCCTGTTCAGAATGGAAGAAGCCAGAGTGGTCGGCGTCCCTATTCCCTAATGGCAATTTGGGTAACCCCTTCAGAGGATGAAATGATTAGAATAGGAGGTAGGAATTGGCTAGGCAGTTAAGGTAAAGAGACTCCAAAGAAATGTAGCCAGTTTCTTGGCTAAAAGTCAAAATGTCCTTGGGCCTCTTAGTAGCATACTCTATTCCAAAGGCCAAAAATGTTAAAAGTATTTGGGACCTTGTATCTAATCCTTAAAAGATTTTAGGGTTACCTCTTCAGAGGGGGGAATGTTGGAGGGGAGGGAGTGGGCATGGACTTAATCAAAATACCTTATATACATGTATGATTTTCTCCATAAAGTTTTTGTAAAAATTAAAAAAAAAGAGATTTGACTATATCCTAGTTCCTTTTATCTTTGACAAATTTGATGGTGTTAAACCAAGGGAACTCATGAGGGCAATCTTAAAACTGAAGAGCTGTGCTTGATACAGGCCTCTTTTCTTTGGTCAGTGGCCTAAGAGGTTGGGATGTTGTGGGAAAAACTGTAGTCTTAGCTTATCTTAAAGGAAATTTGACCTTTACAAGAATAACATCCATAATAATTAGTAATTACAATAAATACTCATTTTACATCTATTTGTTTATTTAGAATGTGTGTGTGTGTGTGTTTGTAGTGTGTGTGTGTGTTTGTGTTTGTGTGTGTGTGTGTGTGTGTGTGTGTGTGTGTGTGTGTGTGTGATTGGCTCACGTGCAGGTCAGAGAAGAACTTCCAGGAGTGAATATGAGTTTAGGAGGTTGAGTTCAGGTCATCAGGCTTGTCAGCGAGTGCCCTTACCTGTTGAGCCATCTCACCAAGATCTGATTTGGAGGGTGGTTAAATATTTTATTTAATATTCATACATAAAGTAGAATGTGTTTGGCTCCGATTCACCCCATTTCCTCTCTTCCCACTCCTTTTCTATCCTCTGCCACCTTTCTCTCCCAGCTTTATGTTCTCTCTCTCTCTCTCTCTCTCTCCATCCCCCTCCCTGCTCCCCCCAAGCCCACTGAGTTTATTTAGTGATGCCTGTATGTGCATTGGTGTGGGACCACCTACTGCATAGCATCCCTGCGAAAGAAAGAAAAAAAGATTCTCTGCCTCTCAGTAGTCATCAGCTGCCAACAGCACCCTAGTTAGGTCTGGGATTCATGAGCCCCTCCCTCATCTACGCTGAGATTTTAGCTGCTTTGACCTTGTGCAAGTCTTGCAGTCACAGCAATTGTGGGCTCCTGTGTGCAATGGTGCTGTCATGCAAATGTATGGTAAATGCCATCTCACTACAAATATCCATCCCCTCTGGCTTCTACAATCTTTTCACCCCCTTTTCCCCAGTGACCCCTGCGCCTTAGGGGGAAGGAATGTGATAGAGATGTCCCATATAGAGCTGAGCACTCCATACTCTCCTATGTTCTGCACACTGATCAGTTGTTAGCTACATATGTCTCTATGTATTAATCAACACCTACTGCAGAAGGAAGCTTCTGCAGCGAAGGCTGATACGCTAACCTATGGGTATGAAGATAAGCATTTAGAGGGCAGTTTATTACTACGTCCATTTAATGAAATAGAAATAGATTCGCCCTTAGAGTCTATGACTCAGCCAGCCCATGTTTCTGGCCCAGTTAACAGTATCAGGCATGGGCTCTGTCTTGTGGAGCAGGACTTAAATCCAATCAGAAAGTGGTTGGTTACTCCAGAAACATTCCTGCCACTATTGCACCAGGGGGCATATCTTGCCAGACCAGTTGCTATTGTAACTCCTTGGAGGCCTGGAGAGTAAGCAAGGACAATGTTAATACCTGTAATGTTTGAGGGTGGGTCTCTATGGGATCCCATTAACCAACAATTTAAAAAGAAGTAACACATATATAATACTCAAGATTTGTTTTTAAAACAAGTTCCTTTAGTACCAGGAAAATCTATCATACTTTACTATTACTGAGGGATTTAGAATCAAATTACTACTTATCAATCCAATAACCTGACCAAAAATCAAGGTTGATATTGTGTTTTTAGGCAGTCTTTAAAATCAACGGCAGTAATTTTCCCACCCATTAATTACCAATTGACTGATATAGATGTGGTATGTACTGGTTACTTTGCTCTTTACACAATACCTGCCAGAAACAATGTAAGAGTGCCAGGGCTTATTTGGCCAACAGCTCCGAAGACAGAGCGTGAACACTGCCCAGAGGGAAGCAAAAGAGACTTCTGGCAGGAGGCCATACCCCCCTCCCCAATTCCTCCAGAGGCCATACCCCCCTCTCCAATTCCTCCAGTCACGCCCCACCTCCTAAAGATTCCACAACCTCCTCCAACAGTTTTACCAGCTGGGGACCAAGTGTTCAAGCTCAGGAGCCTGTGGGACATTTAGCATTCAAACTACATCATGTTTCCAGATGAGTCACGTTTTAAAGACCCACAGTTACAAGTGATACTAACACAGGGCAGAGAAAAGAGACTGGAGCGGCACGGGAAGAGACCTCCACGGGAGGATGCGAAGCATTTCCAGGTCACTGATGCGCACCCAGACTGGGCAAAAAGTGAGGTGTGAACACTCATAACTATTAATAATAATCTGTTTTGGAAACAGGGTCTCCTGTATCCTAGGCTGGCCTGGAACTGGTTCGGTAGTAGAGGATGACCTTGAACTTCAGATTCTCCTGCCTCCTCCCCCTCCCAAGTGCTAGGATTACAGGCATGTATGACAATATTCAATATCTGTGGTATAAAATTCTATGAAGTGAGTATCATAAAGAATGCCGTTCATGTGAATCACTGTCTCCTGTTTATATTTTCTATTTGTGTTTTCTACTTTGTTGTTTACAATCAGAGGCGGTAAGTCCTATCAGAGTTAAAAGTAGATGAGACTGATAAATTTTTGCAATATACAACAGTAATCAAACGGGAATTGGGTTCACACATCAGAAGACAGCAAAATCAGTAAAGCATTCTCAAATGCTCATAGCTCCTGGAAGTTTTTATCTCTAAAAAAAATTGAAAAGGAAATTTTAGTGAACTGGTGAACCAGTTGAGCAGGTAAAGGCATCTGCTGCCAAGCTGAAGACCTGAGTTTGATCTCATGGATCTGTATGGCATAAAGAGAGAAGGGATTTCCACAAGCTGTCCTCTAACTTCCACATACTCAAACACATACACACACGCACATGTAATCAATTAATGCATTTTTTAAATTGGTGGCTCATACCTATAATCCTGACACTCTAGAATTAGAGGCAGGAGGACCAGGAGTTCAAGCTCGCCTCAACTACATAATGAGTTTGAGGCCAGTCTGGGCTATGTGAAACCCAATGCCAGAGAAACAAACAACAAAATACATAAAACCAAACTAATTGTTTTGTAAATACCTAAGATTAACCTGCATGCTCATACTCTGTTGATCTCACTGTATTCTTCACATTACTGAGATAGAAATTGGGCAGAACACCAAAGACATGCTGAGGCTAGAAATGGGGATGACACTAAGCTGACAGGACTATTTGGTTTGGCCAGACATTCTAATAGGAAAAACCCAGCAGCCAAGAAAATAATGTGGAAGACAAACTTAGCATCCACTTTGTGGTGCTCCAAGAAAGCACATGTTACCGGTGGCCACACTGGGGATAAGGTGGCAGGGAGGATGGGAAGGCCTCTCACTTCTCCCCAGTTCATAAATTCTTATAATTCTGCTACCACCTGTGAGCTAGTCAGTTTGTAATCCCCATCTGATGTCATCCTCTAGAGAGTACGGCTGAGTGTTCCCAGATAGAACCAAGGGGCCGTAAAGAAACACAGACAAGGCACCCGCCTGCCCCACCTCAGTCTCCAGAAGGCACAGATGAGAAGATCTTTCCAGGTGTGGCGAGGGCTCAGCGGCACAGCCAATGGGCAATGTCAGAAGGAAATGGTCACCCACAAAGAAGAAATACACATGAAATTTGTCAGAATTAATGGGCCTAATATTGTGGCCGTAAAAAGAGCTCCAATTTAGAAATACCAAGACGCTCAGGTTACTGAAGTTTTCCAGATAGGGAAGAAGTTTGGCAGCAAGATGGCTGGTGTTCAAACAACGGTAGGGGGCTGGAGAGCAGGCTCAGTCATTACGGGCACCCACTGCTCTTACAGTGGATGTGGGTTTGGTTCCCAGAACCCACACAACCACCTGTAACTCCAGCTCTGGGGAATCTGAGTCCTTCTTCTGTCCTTCATGGGCACTGGTATACACATGGCATATATTCACACAGACACATACACATGAATACAAAAAAAAAAGTCCTGAAAAATAACAAATAAACCATAGTAGGGCTTTGAAGCAAGCCTTAGTCAATAAGAGGGGACCAGAAATTACAAGTAGTAGTCTCTGTCATACAATAGGTGACATTAGGCTGACTAGACCCCAAGTGAACATCATGTCTCCTAAAGTTATATGAAGTTTAATCAGATCCTAAAAGGGTCTCTTAGGTAAGTAACTTGTTCATCCTACAGGATTTGAAGATTTAGCTGTTTGGTAAGCAGAATTTGGACTGAAGTCTGTAATCCCAAATAAAAGGTGAAAATTAAATCTGGGAGACTGAGTTATGGTCTCTAGCTCCTTAATCCTCCTAGCTAAGGGGCTGGTCTTACAGCTTGCCAAGTGCCTTGTTTACAGGACAGAGTCAGAGGGCTCTGGCAAAGCAGAGGACCTGGAAGTCAGGAGGGGAACTGTACTTCTTGCAGGCTCTGTTTTCTCTCATTTTCTGCAAATTTAGGGCATCACTAGGAAATGGATTATGACAAATGAGTTTTGAAATAGTCACCCTTTCCTTTCTACATCATGATCATCTCCACTAATGCATAAATAGGGTATTTCATTTTTATTATAAATGAGTATTTCAAAGCTTGACATAGGAAGAAAACAATGGCTTAGCTATGGCTCACTTTATACAACAGCAACCCTGTCTTCTCGGCTCAGGGAACCTCCGATCTATATATCTGCAGCCGAAGATTACCTTGATGCCAGAGTCTACCTCATCTATCATAGATGTCACCTTGTGAGGATGCTCACAGAAGGGACATTGTTACTTATTAGGCCATCCTTTGGGAAAGATGCTAAGAAAATGAAGTAAGCTTATAAAGACCAACCACCTGTTCTTTTCTGTAATATAGTCTCCATTAGGGAATCCATTACTTCCTATATTAACTTAGGAACATAAATAACTTCACAGGCAAAGTCAGGCAGGTCCTAGCTCTGTAAGGAAGGGGCCATGGGGCAGTGAGAGAAGGGGGACTCTAGATTTTCTCTCTTCATGTAAAAGTTTGGTCAATAGGGTACTCTATTGATAGGGTCCATTCACTTCTAAATAGGTAACATTACCTTTCTCAAATTTCTTACAAAAATCAACTTAAGGAAAGATAGAAAGGTTTATTTTGGTTTATGTCTTGAAGGTGCAGTCAATCAGACTGGAGGGGGCAGTGAGTTCATGGCAGGGGGTGTAGGGTTGATTCCCCCCCGCCCCATGTCAGTCCAGTGGGACCCAGAGATGGGGATGCAGGCACTCATCTGGCTTTCTCCTTTTCCTCTTTTTATTCAGTCCAGGATGCCCCCACCCTGGGGATGGTTCCCCCTGCCTTCAGGACTGCTCTTTCCTATTCCTCAATTAATCCACTCACAGACAGATTCAAACGTGAGCTATCCTTGTGCCCTGGTCATTTCTTAATCCAATCAAGTTGACAATAAGAATTTACTGCCACCGTACTAGACAGCATTTTTTAGTTTTAAATTAAGAAGCTTTATCCCTAGAGCAGTTTTAGGTTTGTGGGATAAAGGAAAGGTTCTGACAGACCCATTCAAGCACCCACCCTGCCTCCTCAGAATCCCTCTATGGTTAATATCTTGCATTTCTGTGTAGATTTATTACAGTTGATGAACCCACACTGATACAGTATTATTAACTGAATCCATAGCTCACTTTTTTGTTGTTGTTGTTGTTGGTCTTTTTGAGACAGGGTTTCCCTGTAGCCCCAGCTGGCCTGGATTCACTATGTAGACCAGGCTGGCCTCAAAGTCACAGAGATCCACTTGCCTCTGCTTCTGCCTCCTGAGTGCTGGGATTAAAGGTGTGCGCCACCACACCCGGCTCATAGTTCACTTTTTGAACTGTATACTGCACAGGTTTTTTACAAGCACATGTCATTCATTCATTCATTCATTCATTCATTCATCATTCCATTCTCCATTACAGGAGGCGTTACTGCCCTGAAAGTTGCCTGCCTTCCCTGTATTCACCTTTCTCCCACTTCCCTCTTTTTATTTTCATTGATCACAATTTTAAATAGAAAAAAAAAATCATGCTAAAGTGTGTCTCCCCCAGATCATTTTTGAGGCTATTATTTTTAAGAAAATGAAAACTTACCGGTTCAACAAATTCAAACTTCTTCTTTTCTTGAACCTCTTGAATTTTAAAGACATATTCTAATGATGCTTCATAGAAATTCTGATGTTCTCGGTCAATCTGTGAATCTGCCTAAAGAACGAAGGACAGGCAAAGCATGACACAGGTGCGATCAGGGATGAGTCTATACACAGAGGGAGTCAACACACACTTCATTACGAATCTTTATTAAATACTAACTCTTGCAAAAGTTTTAATGGAATTCTTACTCATCAGAGCCTAGAAGGTATAAAGTCGAGATAAATTCAGACACACATGTACAGAAATAAGCATACAATCACTTGATACAATGAGCACATTGGTGAATTAAATATAAAGGCTACAATAAAAAAATTTTAAAAGGAGGTATATTAAAAGTTACATTAAAATTATGGAGAAAATTTCAAAAGATGTACGTAAACGCATATGAAGATCTATAGACTCACAGAAGATTTTGAGAGGAAATGGAAGTATCTGCCTCTCACCTTGACAACTGACATTAGATTAATTCAAGCTACGAATGGGGAGGCAGAAGTCTAAAAGGAGAGGGAGGGTCAAAAGAGGGTGAAGGAACATAGGTGTGAGGACAAAGGAAGGAGGTGTGGTTTGAAGGAGGAGGGACCAGCAGTGTGGTAAGGGGAGGTAGGGATGCCAGGGTATTGGTGGGGGGAGCACAATGGTATAGATGCATGAAACATCACAGTGCAACCCACTTCTTTTTATGCTAAAAAATGAGATAGAGAGAAGGAAGGGGGGAAGGAGGGAGAGAAGGGGGAGGGAGGGCTAGAGGAATGGAGAGAGGGAGGGAGAGAGGGAGGATGAACAGACATCGATGCCATGAGGAGATGTGGTGGAGTATGGCAGAGCTGGCTTCAGAAAAACAAAGGGGGCAGCAGAGACAGTGAACAAGCCTCAGTCTGAACGATCTTGGATGTTGCATGGCAAATCTGGATTCTGCTCAAGGACGAAGCATCTGAGAATACTAAGCGGAAGAGCTACATCATTAGGGGAAATCTAGGGAAGACAGCATGTTAGCAAAGCCAAAAAGGCAAACAAAAATCCAGTGGTTCCAGCCTGGTGAATCATGTTTCCTCACGTCAGGGACAACTCTTTGGACTGCAGTGAGGTTTGCTTGATGCAGTGTGGGAGAGAGCTAACGGGATCATTTCACTCTCGTATTGACTTTGTCTCTCCTCCCTGTCCTGTGCCCTCTAACCAACCCCACATGCACCCTTGAAGAGCAACTCTGGTTCTATAAAGGGACATAAATTACTTTTCTTGCCCTGTTCCACTCTCCTCGCTGCCAGCTCAGATTACTGAAAGCAGGAGAAAGAATAGGCTCTCTGCAGAGTCGAGCACCCATCAATAAATAATCAGGGGCTAGAAAATTGCTCTGGAGCCATTTACAATGGTAATGTGGCACGCAAAAGGCAACATAAGAAAGCTAAAATTAAATTTCTTGCCCTGGTCATTGCAGCAACATGGGTTTCATTTGGAATGCCTCTAAAAATAATTACATACTTATTATGTGTTTGGCAATATAATTATAAATCACCCAATATTATCAGCAATGCACTTGAGGTTTCTAACATTGAGAATTCCAAAGTTTTGAACTAACACATGTGGAAAAGATATATTTGAGCCCAAAATTTCCTTGCTATCAAGAATCATTTCGGAAATACAGAGGAACCAATAGAAAGAAAATTCGGATTCCAGATAAACTCTATCACTTTGCCTTTTCCCAACACTTGAACTACACAGGAAAGTGAATGAATTAAGAGAGCCTGAAGTGGTTGTTCCTAACCAACAGGTTATGCAGAAGAGTTAGGCTGGCAGGCCTGACTGTTAGCTTTTGGTACTTATTTATAAGATTGGCCCTTGGTCAGTTCCTGGGATATAATTTCAAGAGGGTCCTTCCCACTGCAACAAGTTTGGTAGATATGAAAATATTCCAAAGACACTTGCGTCTTTCAATCTGACTACCAAGCTATTGAAACAATGGAGACCCAGAAATGGGAATGTCTCCAGTGAGTTCATGCTGGGAGAAGAAAAGGACTAGGAGCCTGGCTCCAGCTGGGGTGGGGGGTACTTATCTCACTGAAAAGAGATTTCCCACAGTTCTAAGTACTTGTCAGACCACCTTGCAGGATGGGTCAGTGGTGGGGAGGACTCCATCTAGACCAGGACTGCTTAGATGTGCATGTCTGGTCCTCTACTTAAGTGTTAATATAACTTCAGGACCCTGAAAATGGATTGGGGCAGGAGATGTCACTGGATCTCTTTATCCCTCTTCCTAGTGTACTCACATTGAATACACCTTTTTATACTTTTACTATTAATTGGGTTGTTTTAACTGGCTTCTTGAGGACAGTGGCCAAATCTGGCTCCTTGGGATACAGATCATGAGTCTAGGTACTGTAACATAATCACTAACTAATAAAATGGTGTATGTGCCTGACCTGTTTTGTAAGGGATGCGGTTTATGCTCTAGGAATTTGCAATGTAGGTTGGAGCTCAGGTGGCTCTGTGATTGTCCTCCAATAAAAACCCAGGGTGCTGAGTCCCTGGGTCCAAGTTGCTCCTTGGTTAAGGCAGCATTCCGCATGTGTGGTTATAACTCCCAGCCAAGGGAACCCAGTGCACCCTGATGTCTCCACCGGGCGAGGACTGGTAGAGGTCAATACGGCACTCAACTTCCTCTAGACGTGGCTCTATGCAGGTTTTCTCTCTTCTAATTTTTCACTCTGTCTCATCACTGCACGAATCACAGCCATGAATCTGACTACAGACTGAGTCCCATGAGCTTTCCTGGCCATTCACAGCCCTAGTGATAGTCCAGGTGACCCCTGACATAAGAGTATGAAGAGATTTCTCTAATGTGTACTGTGGTATTCTGCCCCAGACCCCTTCCAATGGGGATGGGGGGGGTTTGCCAATTGCCAGTTTTAGATGTTTCTGCATACCACTATACAACCGAAATTTGACCCACCAAAGGTGCTCTGAAAAGTCACCAGAGGGAACGGCACTCAAAGACGATGACAGCTTAACTCCTTCTTGATGCTAAATGGAGAAAGGCATCTAACTTTAGTTTTTAAAATGTATTTATCTTTATTCTATATGTATGAATGTTTTACCTACGTGCATGTAGGCACCTCCTGTGTGCAATGTCTGTGGGGGTCAGAACAGGGTGTTGGATCCCCTAGAACTAGTGTTAAAGACAGCTGTGAGCAGCCATGTGGGTGCTGAGAATTGAACCCAGGTCCTCTGCAAGAAAAACAAATGCTTTTAACAGCTGAGTCATCTTTCCAGCCCTGATAGAGGCATTTTTAACTTGAGATGAATTCCTTTAAAACATAAGTTGACTACGTCAGTCACTAAAAACAATACTTAAGGCAGGATTGAAAGCTATAGCCCGTAATCTTAACACTAAGGAGACTGAGGCAGGAGGAATTCTTTGAGTTTGAGACCACTCTGGGCTATAGAGTGAAGGGCTCTGCCTCACCAAAAGGAAAACAAAATTTGCTTCTAAGTCTGGTAGCGACAGGTGTTGTATATTTTATACTAAGAAGAACAACAATGTGATTGAGCATTCAGACTGGGATGATTTTAAAACACGCAGGGAACTAGCAGGAACTATACCAGAACAGCAGGTTTACCCTGTTGTTTACACAGCAAAAGGACTATAAAGGAAGAAACCAAATGAATGTTGTAAGAAAGCCACATGGTTCTGCAAATACTTAAAGTCTTCATTATCTACAATAAGCTTGCTAGATTTGAAAAGGTGCAGGGGTGGGGGCCTCCAGGGGGGCTACGTGCTAAAGGATCTCCCCAGGATTTGGAAAGATTTTAGGTAGTCCCAGAAAAACGGGGAGGTTTAGATTAAGTGGAAATAAAAAAATAGAATAAAGAAATCAGAAGTTATAGCTGCGTGTGGTGGTGACACCTGGAATTCCAGGTGGCTAAGGAAGGCAGTCAGGATTCCAGGCCCAGACTGGGCTACACAGTAACAGTTCTGCCAGGGGTACACAGCAAGATCCTGTGAGGGAGGGAAGGAGAGAGAGAGAGGAAAGAGGGGAGAGAGGGGAAAGAGGGAGGAGAGGGGAGAGGGGAGAGGGGAAGAGGGAGAGGGCAGAGAGAGGAGAGAGAGAGGAGACAGACAGAGACAGAGATAGAGGCAGAGATAGAGACAAAAAAACAGACAGCTGGGCGTGGTCGTGCACGCCTTTAATCCCAGCACCTGGGAGGCAGAGGCAGGCGGATCCCTGTGAGTTCAAGGCCAGCCTGGTCTACATAGTGAGTTCCAGGACAGCTGGGGCTACAGGGAGACCCTGCCTCAAAAAAAAGACAGAAAAAAAAAGAGACAGAGATACAGATATAGACAGAATCAGAAGTTATATGTAGAGGGTTCAAAGTAGGTTACTGAATGTTTAGCTGGGAATGATGTACAATGTCAGTTAAGGCAGACGTGTCAGTAAGTAGAAACGACATTCCAGAGAGACTGCAGAACCTTGAGGAAGACTTGACAAGGTCCTGAGGCAGGATTCACTCAAGAAGATTCATGTGAGGACACTGCAGAGTAAACTAATAAAACGGGGGTGGTGCCTGCAAAGATGTCTTCTCTGTAGTGGCAAATGATGGGAGCACTCTCATATAGCAAAGGTCAGTTGAAAGATAGGCCAGGAAAGCAAAGGAAGAATCCAAGATCGATTCGATATACCAAGTCACACCAGCACTGAAAACTGTTGAAGCAATGAGAGCATTTAGGAAAGGCAGTGCTGTGTAAGATGTCATGTGAACCAGTGAGTGGCAGCCAGTGGTCCTGGGAACAGTGGGTTGTACAAAGTGGCTAGGCACAGCAGGATCGCTACCCGGGAGACGGTGTACACAAGGAAGGAGCTTCGGGACAGATGCTAAAGGTGAGGAGTAGAGATGCAGGAACGGAGCTCAGGGACTGGTTTTACAGGGGTGGGCATAGCAGGAATCCGGAGAGGGAGTAGTCAGTGAGAGGTGGAAGAGCAGATGGGACTTCTAAAGGGAATCCACTATTACCTTTACTTTTCCTCTAGCCATAAAAGCAATGAAGTCATTACTCT